TGAATCACCTCACAGGGCATCTAGAAGGGACTTAGCAGACGGTAGCAAGAAATAATTGTTATTTTTTTATATAATATTTTACTGCAAGTATAATAATTAAGCTTTAAAATGAAAAGATTTTATTATGCAGAATGGTTTCAGTGTCAAAAATAAATAGCACCATAATTCCAGCTGCACTAGAGTCCTTGGCAGGCAACTCACTCCCTTTTCAAGTAATCCCTGTGGCCATCACAGATGACAACACAGTTCAGGAGCCAATCTATACAGAGAGACTTCTATAAACAGACCACTTCATCCTGTCATCTCTGCTCAAATCCTCCACAGTATCCCATGGGGCCAGGGCTGGCCTGGCCAGAGTGCTAGCCAAGTGGCCAACGTCCAAGTTTGTGGAGCTGGAGTTGGGACAAAGACTCCTGCCAAAGGCAGCACAAGGAACAAGAGCCAGGGCAGGCTGTCACAGCCCACTAGGAAAAGCCTGGGTTCCAGGACAAACAGAAGCCAGAGGGCCAAGGATAGAGCCAAGGCCAGGGTGAGGTAGCCAAGAGCTCAGAATAAGAAGGTCATCCCAGTACTAGGATGGGGTGGGGAAGGTATATTCTGTCATGTTCTGCAGGACAAATGGGGTCTGATGCTGGTATTTAAATAGGGCAGGGCCCAGATGGGATGGACTGCTCTGGTGGACCTGTGGCAGGTAGGCATCCTCAGCTCTTGACATGTTCACTGCTTAGTTAATTTTCTGCAACACACCCACAATTTCCTGGAAAAGGCTGCTCATTTTCTCAGGGGATAATCAGGAAAACAACCATTTCCCCATTCCCAAATGACTTCTAAGGTAAAGTGAACTTAGAATATTTCAGATCTAATCTCCCACTTGGTATCTCTCTAAATATAAAAACAAAAGCACCCAAAACTGAGATTATTTAAAATTCTGATCAAAGTAATAGAAAATTATTATAAATATAATTGTAAAGTCACAATCTTTTGCTAATTTCCCTCCAAGCTGCTGAAATTGGTCTTCCAGAGAAAACCATGGATGATTTAGATCAGTGATCCTCAAACATTATGGTTCCTGGACCCCTTTAAACTTAAAAACTACATAGGATTCCAAAGAACTTTTCTTTATGTAGATTAAATCTAGAAATTTGCCATATTAGTAATTAAAACTGAGAATTTTGTTATTTATTCATTTTTAAGTGACAATAGTAAACCCATTACATTTCATACTTTTTATGAAAAATAACCATAATATCCAAAACAAACAAAAAAATCTGTGGGAAGAATGGCATTGTTTTGTAAATTGTTTTACTATCTGGCCTAATTTAACATAGTTGGGGGTTGATGGAGAAAGGGGAGTAGGGTGGAGGGCAGGGGGGAGAGGTGGCCCAAACAATATATATACATATGAATAAATGTATAAACAATTTTTTTAAAGATAGTTAGACTTTCACATCTACTTTTATACTCAATTAGCTGTGATAATTTTGTTTTGGTTGAAGTTTATGATGAAAATCCAGTGTCACACACATGTACTCAGACATGTACTTCTCAGGTAGCACCTGAAAGCATCTTAGGGATACCCAGGAGGAAGTACTCAGATCATACTTGATTTAGGCATGATGGTGCTACCATGCCATCCACCTATATGAATCATGGGGATGAGGAGGAGGGGTGACAGGTTGTGGCAGCAGGGATGGATGCTTCACTGTCCAGTTGACCAAGTTGGTCAAGCCTGACCCCAACTGCCTGCTTCCTGGGAGAAGGAAATGTTGATGTGGAATGTTCCTCTGAGCCAACCCTGAACCATGATTGATGGATCATGTGCTAAATGAGAACAATTTGGAGGAGACAGTACTGAGTGTTGGGAAAGAAATACAGAGCAACAGTATTCAACCCACACGTGTACCAGATCACCTGGTAGAGTTAAATGCTATTTCTGTTGGCCTGAAAAAAATCCTAGACAGCAAGTCAGGCATGGTGGCACATGTCTGTTATCTCAGGTACTCAGGAGACACAGGCAGGAGGATTGCAATTGAGGGCAGCCTGGGCAAAGTTAGGGAGACCCTATCTCAAAAGAAAAATACAAAACAAAAGGGCTGAGGGCTTGATTCAAGTCATTAAAGTGCTTGCCTAGAATGTGCAAGGCCCTGGGTTCATCTCCAGCACCACAGTTGTGGTCAGGGGAGGTCCAGACTGCAGAATTTTTTTAATACTCCATAGCTGATTGTAGTGTGCAGCCAGGGATGAGCATCACCAGATTGAAGGAGACTCAGTTAACTGGCTACCTGAGCCTGGATTCATGTTCTACTAGTTACATATACAACTCACTAGTTGTATAACTAACCTCAGGCCATTACTAAGTTTACTTACCTGTAAAATGGGAACACCTTGAGAATATTCAGCAAATATTCAACATGATCATCCATTTAAAGTTCTTGGCACTGAAGCTGATACAAAATATATATGCAGTACATTTGAGCAGTCATTCTTTGTTATGAAAATTGGTGTGGACCATTCACTCCTTTTCAGCTTCCAGGATTAAGTGTCTCTGAAAACGCTGTCCCCTACACAGGACAAGACTTCCCAGGAAGGAGTCACAGCTCCTGCTTCAGTGCTGCCACAAAACACACAAACAAGCTGAGTCTTCTGTCTCTTCCTTTGGACAGAGGGAGTCAGTGATTCCTCTACCCAGGACCCAATCCTGGAGTCCTTGGCTGAGGTGCACAAAGGTGATGCCACTAGCAACAGGTGAAGGAAGTGCCACTACTGAGTGCAATGATGGTGTTCACATTGCTGTGTGTCATGTGTGTGTGCGTGTGTGTGTGCGCGCGCACTCTGCAGTTTGTCCTAGATAATGCTATTTCTCCTTTAAGATTATTGGAACATCTCATCTTACAGAGATGGTGGAGAGGAAAACACAGAGTGGAAATTGTTTAATGGCTTATTCTTGGCCTGTGAACTGTCCATGGAGACCTGGAACGATGAGGCTCCCTCCTCATTTGCGCTTGAGAACATCATCATTACACATTACACATTGCACTCTGCCTCTGAGCTCATCGGCTCACCCACAAAAGTTAACAGCAATATGGAGTGGGGGCCAAGGAAAGATGGAAGGGCCTGGCATGCTCTCTGAATGGTCAGGACAGCCACGACTCAATATTTTTATTAAGCGGCAGGATGAATCATGTAACACTTCTAGAATTACTGGACGTTTGTGGACAGCTCCTCCAGCTGCTTATGGAGTGGAATTTGAGAGCCTTCAAATACAGATGGGCTGCCAAGTCTCATGACATCCGCCCAGCAAGATGAGCCTGCTGCACTGACATCCAGTTTGATTTCATTCAGGCTCGTTGGCTTTGAAAATTCACAAAGAGGTAAAGAGGTGCCAAATAGGTCACCTAGGTGAGATCCTAGGCAGGATTGTCTAGGTGAGATCCTAGGCAGGATTGTCTAGGGCCAATCCTGTGCCTTGTGGAGGAGTTATTTCTAATCATCCAGGACAGAAAATTGTCCAGACTGCCGAAGGCCACTAAGAGAGTCACAAAAACAGGAAGATAATTGGATCCAGGGCTCAACATACTTCATTAGGAGGTTAATCCTTTAGATTCAGCAGGTTGGTCAGCAATTAGCAAGCCTCATTAAAGGATCCTCTCTCCTTGTATCAGGGTCCTGAGTATTGACAGTAGTTTAAGTCATAGACATACTGAGTTGATTAAGACAGCAGAAGGTTGGCCTCCTGCCAAAAGTCCACTTTCCCATCAGCCCCATGATGAATGCGTGTACAGGTTGGACCCTGATAAAGTGGTTGGAAGCCAAGAAGATTGGGTTTTTTGGCTTTGTTTGTATTCACAACTCTAAATGTATATCATAGAGACATACAATTTGCTAGTTTGAAAATCTTAACCAAACTAATTGGCATGAAATTATTTTTTAGACTTTGTAAGCATTTCACTTTATGATGGGGAAGTTTTCTTTTACCAACTGAACATCTTTGTACATGCTCTCCATTGAAGGCTAGTGCTGTGGTACCCTGGTCAGCTTCCAGGTGAATAATACTTTGGCTTTCCAAATTCACAAAGAGGTAAAGAGGTGCCAAACAGGTCACCTAGGCGGGATCCTAGGCAGGATTGTCTAGGGCCAATCCTGTGCCTGGAATTCCTTCCTGAGAAGATGTTGAGTTCTGCTCTTATCTCCTCAGGATCAACCAAAGGATAGAGTAGGAGGGATCTATTCTCCCAGCTCTGGCCTACATTCCACAGAGAAAGATGCTTCCCAGGACTAAGAGGACCCCATCCTTCAATCATCAGACTCTCTCTCAGACCCCACTGAGCAGAAGGGTTGGACTCACTGCAGAATGGGATCAGCTGTCAGCCATCTCCCAAACCACCAGTCTACCCTAGTTCAGACCTGTCCCCTAGGGGCTCCCCAGGAGGTACAGAAATGAACATAGATTTAAACTTGGCTAGAATATATAGCTCCTAATGCTAATATCATGAAGGAAACCTCCAATCACAGAATCTCAGCCTGTCTTTCTTTCCTTCTTTATCATGATGCTAATGACTAAAATAATATCAGCAAATTTAGAATGGCAATTTTTAGACAAACAAGACTCATAAACTTTGGACAGGTCTAAAACGCCTTTAAAGGTCTTTAAAATGAGTTATTTCTATTTCTCAGCAATTTATGCCTAAAGTTATAATGGTTTTGTGAAAAAATACTTCACTACTTCTGCCAATTCTCCTTTTCCCTAGCCTGTGAGTTGAAGAAGTGAACATGGTCCAGGGGAAGGGAGTCAATTAAGTTAACAGGGAGCAAACTGAAAGAGGAGCTGAAGAAGACATTCCCCTGTACAATAGCTGTATGTTTTGTTGTTTTGTGGACAAAACAATCTCTCTCTCTCTCTCTCTCTCTCTCTCTCTCACACACACACACACACACACACACACACATACACACACACAAACACACACACACGACCCTATGGAAATAACAATGACACTTACCAGTTCCTGCAATGCACGTTTTAACAGAGGGAGACCCAAGGTAAAATTCACTCTCTGAACCGTCAATGCTCTCATTTCATCCAGATTTAAATCGTACCTGTGCAGAACACATATCACATAAGCATTAAGACAATGAGTTATTGGTGATCAAGGAAACAGATGTCCTGGCTGTAACTCTTGTTTGACTATGTATGTAACACATATATGCTCAATACATGGGGTCAACTGGAAAGAGAAAAGGAAGGATTTTCTAATAATTCTACTTAAAACAAGATTGCAGCTTTTCCTCCTTTATAGAGCTTTAAAGATTGCAGACATTTTCATTTTCTGAGACAGCCCAAGTAAGGGCAGAATATGTGGAGATGGAAGAAAGACAGCAAACTGTGTGGTACAAGGGGTAGACTATGGTGGCCATGAGGAGGGTTGCTCAGAGATGCTATGGACAGACCCTGCCTTCATGGCCACATCTTTGAATTAACTCAAGTTCACCCTAAAGGCAGTCTTCTTTTGGACTGCTCCAGCTGCTGATTGAGCCTGGAAGGTTCTAGAGTCAGGCCACCCCCACCCAATAGGCAACTTTTGCTTCAGGACCCACCCTCCCCCCCCACTGCCCAAGAAGACTCTATTTTAACTGTGGCAAAGGCTTAATCTTCACAGTGTTTGAGACTTTCCCACCTCCACCCCTTTCTCCTTCTCTCCCTTCACAGAGTCCATCCTACCTGCCTATATTCTGGAGCCTCTTCTTACCAATCTACCAATCTCTTTGTCCTTCACAGATGTTTTCTCCCTAGTGTGTCTTTAACCCATCTTAGTGTCTACTTCTCAGTAGACCTAAACTGGGAAGAGGGGTTCCTCCTCTGCTCTCTAAAATGTTTCCAAGCAAATCACAGTCTAAGCCTGAAAGAACCTCACCCATGCTTGATAACTGACTCTATCATTAACTGTGTGATACCAGGATAAATCAGACATCAGAATAGGCTCACCAGAATTTTAAAACAACCATCATAGCAATGCTTCAGCAAGCAATTACAACAAATTCTCTTGAAGCCAATAGGAAAAACTCATCAAAGAAATATGAGTTATAAAAAGCATAAAATGAAAATTATAGAAATGAAAAGTATTGTAACCAAAATTTAAAAAAAAACTCACTGGTGAACTCAGTAGTATTGTGTAGGTGATGGATTTGATGCCCTTATAAAAGAGGCCCCAGAGATTTGCCATGTGAGGACACAGTGGAAAGGAACTGTCTAAGAGAAACAGGTCTCACCAGGCACTAAATCTTCCAGCACCTTAATCTTGGATATCCACCCTCTAGAACTGTGAAAAATAAATTTCTATTGTTTAAAAGCCAGTCTAAAATATTTTGTTATAGCAGTCTGAGAAGACTAAGACACAAATCAGTAGACAAATCTCAACAACAAAGAGAATATGGACTAAAAAATAAGGCAAATATTTCTCAGAAACTTTTAAGACAAATAACAGAGCCAACATCTATGTATCTTAAAGGTTTCAAAAGAGTCAAGAGAAAAGCTGAGACTGAAAAAATATAAAATATAATCTTCCCCAGTTGAACAAAAGATATAATAAACTTTCAGATTCAGGATGCTGAGCTGGATAAACACAAAGAAACCCATGCCAAGATAGATCACAATCTAATTTCTGAAAACTAAGTCAAAGAAAAAAATTCTTCAAGGCAGCTTGAGAGAAAAGATGTATTCTTATAAGGGAAGACTCATTGGGATATAGCAGATTTCTCAGCAGAAACCATGGAGGCCTAAAGGAAGTAGCTCAATATTTTCCCAGTTGTGAAACAAAAGAATCATCAACAGCAAATCTGACATTCAGCAAAAATATCTTTCAGGAATGAAGGAGAATGATAAAGGCATTCCTAGACAAATTAAAACCATGTTGCTAGCAAACCTACCCTGTAAAATGACTAAAGAAGTTCTCTAAGCCGAAAGGAAATGATAACAGAAAAGGCTGGGACTTTCAGAAAGGAGAGAATATCGGAATGAATAAAAATAGAGGTAAATATAGTTGACTCTACTACTCAAAAGGTTTTTTAAAAACAGACTCTTCTTTAGAGCAGTTTTGGGTTCACAGCAAATTGAGAAGAAGGTACAGAGATTTTCCGATAGTCCCTGCCTCCACATACATGTAACCACCCCCAGTGTCAGTATCCCCCACCAGAATGGCATGTTTGTTACAACTGGTGAATGTACATTTACTTTATTATCCAAAGTCCATAATTTATATTAAGGTACACTGTTAGTGTTATAGTAGATGAGTTTAAAAAATGTATAGTGACATGCATCTACCATTATAGTATCATACAAAGTAGTTTCACTGCACAAACATCCTCTGTGTTCCACCTATTCATCTCTCCCTTTCCCTAATCCCTGTCAGCTTTCCTTGATTCCTACCCTTTGACATCAATTCTCACTAAAGAGGCAGAATCTGTTTCCCCACCCCCTGGAATCTGCCCTTGGCCATGAAACTTGCTTTGGTCGTTACTATATGGGTAGATTTGAGAGACACAAAGGCTTTAAAAGGTGCTCATACATTTCCCTTCCTCTCTTTTCCATTTTCAGTACTCAAGAGAATAGGCTTGGGCCAATTTAAGAACATTCCTAGGCTAAGCCTGCTGGTGGGGATGGGTACAGGGTAGCACACATGTGAGAAGAGCCATTACGTCTTAGTTAAGGTGATCTAAACCAGACTACCTGCCTCTAGGCAAACATGTGAAAGAATCCAGCCAAGGTCAGAACTAACAGCCAACCCACAGCTGACTGTAATACATGAATGAACCCAGTTAAAACCTAGAGATCCTGGTCATCCACAGATGCACCATCAATAATAAACAACTGTTAGTTTTGTTTGTTTGTTTTGAGCCATTAAATTTTGCATCAAACTGATATAATATGGAGTTCTACCTGGTACACACACACTCCAAGCAATCAACTAAAAACTACTAAGAGTCACCAGGATACACAACTAACACAAGAAACTGATAACATTCATGTAGACATATAAATAGTTAGAAAATGCATGAAACAAAAGCTCCAACTTGCCAAAGTAATAAAGCAAAAGAAAGATATACTAGAGAAGACTCAAATGTGGAGGAGGCCCCCATTTTAAGGAAACATAGCTGACAAAGGAATACCAAGGAACAGATGGAATATGGGGGGGGGTGAATCCAATCAATCAGTAAGGTCCACAAAAATGAAGATAGCCAATCAAAACTGACCTAACCTGAGGCATAAAACTTACTCTCAAACCCTATCTGGGCACACTATGTTCCTTTGCATAGCCAGTCACCATTCAATCCCCTTTCAATGGCATCCTAATAAATCTTTGCCTGCAGCTCCCCAAAATCCACAACATCAAAAAAACAATAAACGTGTACTATATCTGATTTTTTTGTTTGGTTGGTTTTTGTTTTTTGGTTTGTTTGATTGTTTTTTTCTATACTAGGGTTTGAACTCAAGAATTATGCTTGCTAGACAGGTGCTCTACCACTTGAGCCACAGCTCTAGTCCACATTTTTTTTAATAGAAGATGACATCATAAAGAAATCAATTCTCCCTAACTTACTTTATACATTGAATGCTTCCAAATAAAAATGCCAACAAGGGATTTGATTTTAAAGTCATATATACAAAGGGAAAAAAATCAAGAAAACCTAAAGCCAAATATCTATGATCTCTATCAGATAATAAGATATTTGATAAGGCCTCAGTAATTCAAATAGTGCCAAAACAGGCAGATAATCCAATGGGGTAAAATAGAATGTTGATAAACAGAAGTAAATATATATGGAAATTTAATACATGTAAGACAAATCTGGTAAATCAAATTATGGGAGAGATAACAGCAAAATTGAGACATTCCAATTGAGTAGCCAACTGGAAAAAAACATTAGCTGAATCCCTATTTCACATGAAATGCCAGAATAAATTCCATAGATTGATGATTTACATATGAGGAAATAAGACCACAAAGTATTAATGCATGAATAATTATTTCACAATCTTCATTCAAAAAAGCTTCTAAATTCTACGCACTATTTATAAAGCCATAAAGAAGAAAGTGATAACTATACAAAAAGTCACATTACCAAAGCAACATGAAAATAGTCAAAAGTGAAATGGAAAACTGAAACAAAATATCTGTTACTGATGTTATTGCAAGAGGTCAATCTTAATCAAAGAGTTCCTATAATTCGTTAAAAATAAACAAAAAAGTGAACAAATGCCTTGAACAAATGGTTCACAGAACAAGCACTTAAGTATACTTTTAATCCTTGCTCTCATATGCAATAAGACAAGCACAAATCAAAATTATATGAAGGTAACAATTTTTACTTACCACATGAACAAAATCAGACAGTCTGATAACACACGGTGTTGGCAAGCTAATAAGAAACAGATACCCTCATTCACTAGTCTGAGGAAGGTTGGGAGGGAGGCAGAGTACAAATTGGCATATTCTCTGTGTGTGGCAATCAGACAATATCACAACCCAAATTACAATAGACATATATACTTATACATATATATTATAGTATTTAAGTTATAAATTCTGTAACCGAAATGAAAAATGTGGAGAAACCCCCCAACTTACAATGACTAGAAAGAAAAGCCTATGAGTATGTCATGAAGTATGTTAGAGGCAATATTCTGAAGCTTAAGTTATTAGATATAGTCTTTATGGTCCCATTTCAGTAACACTACCATAAAATGGTCGTCCTTCATTTATTTTAAAATTCCAAATTCACATCCTGTTCATAATGATACCAAACATCTCATAGGTGTCAAATCCTAGAAATAATTCTATACCAATTCACACTGACATGGGTAGATAAGGGCCATTAATGCAGATACACACACTGGCCAAAAGAACTGACGAAGTTATTTTAAAACTACAAAATAAATCTCAATAAAGTTGCTTGAACGTTATTAATAAACAGTCCTTAACTATTAACATCTAAGTCCAATCTGCTTCTCAACAGAAACATTAGATATTTTAGTAACAGTCTTATCCTTCCCACCCAGCTCCCAAATTATATATATATAAATATATATATAAATATATATATATAAATATATATATAATTATATATCCCAATTATATTCTAGGATGAATATAATGTTATTTGGGCAGAAATAGTTATTCACAATAGCACAACATTACAAATACTCTATCAGTAGAGAAGTGATCAAATAAAACATAGAACATCTGCACAGTGGAATATTAAATAAAAAGAAAAAAATCTGTTTAATGTGCCAAAATGGAAAAGTTGGCAGGAAAAATGTTTGTAAATGAAAAGAATCAAGCTAAAAGCAAGTAAATGTACTACTTTTACTGTATACTATGTGTTAAAATGGGTAAAAAAAAGATCATATATTTGCTTGCATACATATGTGTGTGTGATTTTTTTTAATTTCTTTGAGGAAATGCCAGAAACTAAGAACAGTGTTTGCCTTCATGTACATAGGGTGGAGTAGGGGAAATTGGACAGATGGGGAGCAGTGCTCTAACTTTTAATGCATTCTGACTTTGAAAGCTATTTAAATAATACCTATTCAAAAAATGTACTTTAAATCGTACACTTAAGAACAACCACTAGATGGAGCTTGTTCTTCATTTGAACTGCCACTGTGACTAATTTGAAGTTAACAAAGAAATTAAATTAAATCTGGGTGAAAACATCTTTTGGAAACTGCCTGAAAACTTGAACATTTGCTTACCATAATAAGAACATCTAAATTTCTAACACTTTTTAAGCAAAAAAGTGACAATGGATGCAATGAAAAAAAATCAGTTTAGGGAACACTTTTCACTCTAAACCCCTAAGCAACATGCATATTTGATTGTGTATTTTCTGTCTTTAAATATGGACCTCGACATTTAACAATCTTGGTAGATTACTGCAAATGCTATTTGCATAACAATGGGGTACAAATCATACCTACTAGTTTCCTTGGTATTTTCACAACTATAATTTCTGTGTTTTTGCCTTCCTGAATCTCTAAGATATGAAGATATTGCAAAAATTATACCTAGGCCTCAGATTACAGACAGAGGCCCTATGGAAATAAGAGACTTGTTAAGTCTCGGGATCAATGGAATTAGTGCCAGAATTAGGAATTGGGCCTTACATGCTGAAGGACATCTTGGGAATAGCTGTGATGTGGCAGAGAGGGTCCAGCTCTGCCTCTGGCAGCACCCTCACCATCTCTCTTAGCTACTGATATTCCTCAGTGTAGGATTTTTCTTGAAAAAATAAGCCCATTGCTAAGAATAAGCATGCCACCAGCAAAAACTGAAGCCAAAGATACTAGTTTCGCCTTGCCTCATAGCAATATGAGGAATGAGCATCCAGCATGAGAAAGATGTCTCTCCAGGAATCCTGGGTCATGGAACTAGGGCCAAACTGCAAACTACTGAGACAGATTAGAGGGACCAAACTCTCCCTTGGACACTAGGGCAAGAGTTAAGCATTGTTAAAGCACTGTTAAATACTGTTAAAGCATAATTAATATTAGTGATAAGCTTTTGTTGTGCCCACACCTTTAACCAATAAGCTGTTGGAGGCGGTCCAAATGATTTGACTCCTTAATTGACAGCTGTTCTCCCACTTCCTGGTGCCTAAGATGCCTTGATTGAAGGACCATCAGCCAAGCCAACCAGCCGAACTGCCCTCATTCCAGCACTGGCTACTTTAAACACTCCACAGATGCCTTGAAGAAGCTTCATGGCAAAAACAGCCCTGCTTGCTGCAGAAGCATAAGTCTGGTTCCTGAAGGCACTGTCCCAGCAAACAGCTTCCACTGGACTTTTTCCCATCACAAGCCTCTGTGAACTCTAGGTGACCCTGCAACTATTTTCACCCAGGCCAGAGGGGGAGCACTTCCCCTGGTGGTCCAGTAGAAGGCCTGAGACTGGTGCAAACACGGTCCTTTATTTGCACAAGGGACTTCTGTGATTGTTGCAAATGTGGTACCTCATTTGCATGAGGGACTATGCCATCATTAGTGCAAATACAGTCCTTGTCAACAAACACAAAAATGTGTTTCTTCACTAGATAAATGCACGCTGTGGCAGATACTGCTAGGGGCTCCTCCCCACCCCCTGCTAGAATTCTGACATTGCTCCGTGGCAGTGGGAAGCTCCTGATTGGCTCTGGGCATCACAATGGTCCTAACTTCCAAGAAAGTCGTTAGCTTAGAAATGAGAATTGATGCTTAAAACAAGGAGAGTTTTATTTTTAGGATGCATTTAGGTGTGGCTGGAATAACACCTAAGAGATAAGTTGTGAAAGCAGAAGTGGCTATCCACCTCCAGTAGCAGATTCATTGGAAGGATGCCCAGTCTGAGGTCAATGGCTATCACCAGGCTTTGGACTCCCTCCTTAGGTTGCTCTGCCCAGGGAATGGTTGAGTTTGCTTGTAGAGTTCCTTGTTTCCAGCTGTAGTATAACTGTGACACAGTCACTCAAAGGATATTTTTGATGGAACATTACTGTACACAAATTCTGCAGGAGTTCACAGTATAAATTCATTGCTATGATTTGAATATGTCCACTAAACTTCTTGTGTTGAGGCCTTAATCTCAAAAAGTCATACGTAAATGCTATTTAGAGATAAGACCTTTAGGGGATAATTAAATTAGAAGAAGCCATGAGGGTGGGGCCCCATAGTAACAATAGAGGTTTTATGAGAAAAGGAAGTATGATCTGAGCTGGCATGCTTGTTCTGCTTCACTATGTGATACCTTCTGGCATGTTATAATACAGCAAAAAGGCCCTCAGCAGATGCTGGTGTCATGTTCTTGAAATTCCCAGACTCAAGGCCTGTTATCCCAAAAAATTTCCACTCTTTATAAATTACCTAGTCGCATTATAGTCAATTATAGCAACAGAAAACAGACCAAGATGTTAAGCCTCTTCAACTAATTCATTCATTAGCTATGTAGAGGAAGCCCCCTGAAGTATCAGGCAACATGCTCAGGAGCCAGAGTCCCATGCTGAACTCTGAGCCACTTGTCCACTTACTTTTCCATTTACTCTTACATGGGAAGTGGGAAGATGGATGCAGTGATTCCTTCAAGAGCCAGTCTGGACTAAAGTCCCGAGATCCCTGAAGGATCATAAAGGGGTTGAGTCAAGTATTCCCTCATCACTTCAGGAAGGAATGGCATGGGACAACCTGCAGGACTGGGGATCTCCAGTGACACATCTGCAGCACCCACAGTAAAGCCACACACAGCATTGAGAAAAACAGATTTGCACCTGTTACAGAAAGGCATTGTCATGAAGAGAAATGTGGTGATCACTGTCCATTGCTTAGGGATACTGTTGCCATTTGTTTACAGCCATAATCTCATTATGAACCTTTCTCCACTCCTGTAGTCAACCACTGGCAAAGCCTATGTACAGAGAGGGAACAGAGTATAAATGCTATTACACTTGATGTTGTAAGATAAAGAGAAGAGATGCAATCAAAACTCCATGCAAACTAAAAGTTATATACGCTAATAGGAGGCAGCAAGAGAATCTTAACCCTTTGAGGAACCTGAGAGCTGCTCAAAATTTTATTATCTCAATACAGTAAGACTAGTTTTAAGTAGCAAACAGACACAAATTCCTCAGAATTGCAGGCATTTCCAGAAGCAGAAAGGAATAGGTGTTGATGACCTTCCAGAAGCAGAAAGGAATAGGTGTTGATGACCCTTGATCTCTCTACCCAGACACCGATCCCTTGCATAGGTAACATTTTCTTTTGAAATCAGCCAAAAAGGCTCCAACCAGAAAAAGCAAATGTATTGCCCATTGTCAATTGGAACGAGCTTTCTCTCGCTCCCTTGTCCTCCTGACCTAACTGGCATAATTGGGGGCAATGGGAGATGCAGAAAGGACAAACGATAGACAAACATGCATAAAGCTGGGCCGAGGTGTGCTGGGTGCTTGGGTGGAGATGCACAGCAGCCTCATTGCTTTCTTACTCTATTATTCTCTTCTTTCACTTTGCTTCTTTTCTCTTATTCTTTAAGGCCTTGAATCTTTACTATTCTTTAAAACCTTGCTTCTAAAGTCTTTTCTATTCTTTAAAGTCTCTTTCCTTAGACTTGCACTGTCCCATGTTTTCTTTAGCTTTTCTTTAGCATAATCTCTCTTAAAGTCTTTGCCCTTAGATTTGTACTGTCCCATGTTCCCTTTAAAGTCTTGGTGGTCAGACTTGCAGACAAACAACAGCAGCCACATCTAAAAACTGCATTAGCATAACTCTTAAAGATTGGGTCCTTAGACTTGCACTGTCCCATGTTCTTTTTAATCTTTCTTTAGCTTTCCTAAAGTCTCAGTGCTCAGACTTGCACTGTGCCATCAGACTTGCACTGTCCCATGTTTCTTCTAATTTCTAGCATAACTCAGTAGCCCACTAACAGTGCCATTCTCACAAGCAGCCCACCAATCAATCCCTCCCCCATCAAAAAATCTCCCATCAAAAAACCTCATGCATCAAACAAACTCCCATCAAAAAACTTCATGTCCTCCTTCAGCAAATCTTTTACATCCAGTGGTAAACAAGGAGGTGGAGCAACAGTTCTCAGGGAGGGGCGTGGCATTGTAACAAGAGAAACCTGCGATTCTACTTGTCTGAACTTAAACAACTTAGGAAAAGCAGCTGTGCTGCATTTTGCACTTAGCTCTCTTCTGCGCTGGGGCACGCCAAACTCTGTCTGCCGATTATTGGGCACAGCTGTGCTAATGACAAGTTCTCATCAGCTTCTCATAATCTGCTCCCCACAGTCAACCTAAATAACAGAGACTCTCTAAGGAATACTGAGTTTACATGGGAGTAGCAAAGGACTATAATCTGGGATGTGTATGCTATGCTATGGGGACCATCCAGGCATATTCAAAAAGATTAAGCAAGAAGATGCTTTCAAAAGCAAAAATGAACAATATGCATAATTTGTTTGAAACAAACAGAATAGTGGTCACAATAAAGGAGAATGAAATTATGTCATGTGCAGGAAAATGAATAGAACTGGAAATCATCATGTTTAGTGAAGTAAGCCAGACTCAGAAAGACAAATAATGTGTTTTTTCTCATATGCAGAATCTACATCTAAAACAAACAAAATAATACAAACATAAAAGGGGGTTATTGGTGGGTAGGGGACTAATAGAAGAGGAGGGGGGAAAAGAGAGGGTAGTAGGGTAAATATGGTTAAAGTGCATTGGGTGCATGTATGAAATTATCATAATGAAACCCATCTTAAAAATAAAATAAAACATGGATTTTTTGAAAAAGTAAGTAAACATATATCCATGTTTCATACAATGCAGAGAGAGAGAGAGGCAAGCACTGGTCATAAGGCTTATCACAGATGTCAATGCATCTGCAGAGACAGGGTGTTACCCAAGTGCTCTTGTTCATCTGGTTAACTATTCAACTAGCTGTTCTTAGAACTCATGTGGCAAGCTACAGTTGGGTAAGTCCTTGGCAAAGGTTCTTTTTACAAGCATGCATGCATAAAAACCCTTCAGAGAACCTTCTTAATAGTCATTATCACAGGCACATGTGTATGAGGGCACTTCCTTCTTAGCTTCCAGATTTACCTATTTATTTCTTGATTAGACTTTGAAACAAGTGACTCTATCTTGATTCTAACAACTCTCACAGCATTTTCAAATCAAAATCTCAGCAAGAGATTTTAAGGCAGAAATGCAAGGGCCCAACCTGTGCCTTCCCAGGCTCAATTTCATGACATTACTTCAATTACTACAATAATCTGGAGACTGAGGAAAATATTTTTGTCTGTTCAGCATTCATTGTCCCTTCTCTGAGTTACATCACCCCAGTTTTTCTTTACCAGATGCCCATGCCCTCACCCCAAACCACATCATTATGGTTGGTAACCCTTCTCCTTCTAGGGTAGGCAGATACTGACTAGCCTGAGCTAGTCCTTGCTCTTAGCTCCAGTGACCACTTTGAGGAAAGGCAATGGCCATCTGAGTCAGAGGGTAGCATGGGCCAGTCTAGAAACCCAAAAGTGTCATTCTTTTCCTACCTGCCTGATGAGCTATTGGCATGCACTCAAAGCTCCAAGGACATGAGATAAGAATAGAGCCAGGTATTTCCAACAGTGTCACCCATGCACCTGTTCTCCAACCTCTGGACCTGAAGCTATTGTGAGCTGTGTTTCTGACTCTGCAACTGAAACAAGAGCCGCTATCTATGCTAACCAGGGTGCATTGGTGGCAAGCAACAGAGAACAAATTCACACTCACTTTAACAGTAAAAGGGACTTACTGTCAGGGAGGTATTCTTGGAGCAGTTTGACTCTGTGGCTCAAGGATGTCCTCAAAAATTGGTATTTCTCTACTCTCCTCTGTGGGTCACTTCATCCTAATGCTGGCTTCTCTCATGGTGACAAACAGGCTGCATCAAGGCCAGCTTCACATCCAAACTCCAACCTGTCCAAAATGAGATGGTGTGTAGCTCTGATAGATCCCTCAAATAAGCAAGAAAGCATCTTTCCCAAGAGCATCCATAAAACTTCCCTTCACAATTCATTGGTTAAAATCAAGTCACATGATCATTCCTAAACCAACACCTGTGGCCAGAGGGCCAACATGTCTAGAGTGGCTTTCTGGGTGGGGCATGGAAGGGAGGCAGGCTTACTTGACAATACCTATGGCAAGGGGAGTAAGGTGACTGATTCACCTTCCCCAAATTATACAACCCACAAGGGGCATGTGCCCAAATGAAAACTATGTACCATTGGGAAGCAATGTGATGTGGCAACAAATCCTTACTTTACTAGGACTGTGCCTCATGTGGAAGCAAAAGAAATTATTGCTGTCTTATCATCTTCTTTAAGAGAATTAAACAAATTAAATTTGCAAATATACTTTCTAATTATCAGAACATACCTCTAGACTATAAGTCATCTACATTTTTCACAATGATTCTCCTTTATTACCATCTTTAATAGCCAAATAAATCATAAAATATAAAAATTATACAACTACCTACATACCATGGGTCTAGAGCCCTTGGAGGTAAAAAGTCTTTCTTATAGCAGGTTTTAAGGTTGTTTCATGTGGTCTCTCTCTCTCTCTCTCTCTCTCTCTCTCTCTCTCTCTCTCTCTTTCTTCCTCTCTGTCAAGGTTCTTAGGCTTAGCAGAGGCAGGAAGCAAGGTCTGAGGGTGGAACATTCTGTGACGCAGTGTCAGCATCTATGGGGCTAACCTACAAAGAAGGATGGAAAGTACTCTGGAAGGCACACTTGACCTTCAGCCCTGCCTCCACTCTAGTTAACCAAGGATTCTGGTGACCCACAGAGGTTTAGCAGCACCCCAGTGACCTCGGTCTGGCTTTCCTCACCAAGACTCTTGATAACATAGCAGGATATAAAATCAACATACAAAAATCAGTAGCCTTTCTATATACCAACAATGAACAGGATGAGAAAAGAATCAGGAAAACAATTCCATTCACAATAACCTCAAAAAAAAAAAAACCTTAAGTATAAACTTAACTAAGGAGGTGAAAGACCTCTACAACGAAAACCACAAAAGCTAGAAAAAGAAATTGAAGAAGATACCAGAAGATGGAAAAACCTCCCATGTTCATGGATTGGCAGAATTAATACCATAAAAAAAGCCATACTACCAAAACCAATCTACAGATTCAATGCAATGTTCATCAAAATCACAACATCATTCTTCACAGAAATGGAAAAATCAATCCTAAAATTCATATGGAAGCATAAAAGATCCTGGATATCAAATGTAATCCTTAGCAAAAAGAGCAACACTGGAAATATAATAATAATAGACTTCAAATTACACTACAAAGCCATAGTAACAAAAACAGCATGATACTGGCATAAAAACAAACATGAAGATCAATGAAACAGAATAGAAGACCCAGAAATACACCCACACAGCTACAACCATCTGATCTTTGACAAAGGAGTCAAAAACATACACTGCAGAAAAGATAGCCCCTATAACAAATGGTGCTGTGAAAAGTGGTTATCTACATGAGACTAGACCCCTACCTCTTACCCTGAACAAAAATCAACTCCAAATGGATCAAAGATCTTAATGTAAGGCTTAAAACTTTAAAGCTATTATAGGAAAAAAAAAAAGGAAAACTCTAGAACATATAGGCATGGTAATTATTTTCTGAATAAGACTCTAAAGGCCCAAGAAATAGGAGCAACAAGTGACAAATGGGACAGTACCAAATTAAAAAGTTGCTGCACATCAAAAGAAACAATTACCAGAATCAAGAGACAACCCACAAAATGGGACAAAATCTTTACCAGCTATACAATGGATAAGGGATTAATATCTATAATATACAATGGTCTCAAAAAACTAAACCACAAAAGAGAAAATAATCCAATTAATAAATGGGCAAATGAATTGAAGAGACAGTTCTCAGAAGAAATGCAAGTGGCTAATAAATGCACAAAAGCTGTGCACCTGTACTTGGAAGGATCCTGGTTCAAGGCCAACTGGGCAAAAAAGTTTGTGAGACCCCATCTCAACCAATAGCTGGAAATGTATCTGTCCTTCCAAACTATACAGGAGGCTGAGATGGGGAGGATTGAACTTTCAGGCCAGCCCACACTAAAAAGCTTGTAAGAACCTATCTCAACAGACAAATGCCGAGCATGGTGCCATGCAATTGTCATTCCACCAGGAAGCATAAAATAGGATGATGGAGGTCCAGATTGGTCTGGGCAAAATGTGAGAGCATATCTCCAAAATAGCCAGAGCAAAAAGAGCTGAGCCATAGTTCAAGCAGTGCAGCACCTGCCTAGAAAGTACAAAGATCTGAGTGCAAACCCCAGAACCACCAAATAAATAAATAAATACATGAAGAAATGTTCAACATCTTTAGCCATAAAAGAAATGCAAATCAAAACTACACTAAAATTCCATCTCACCTCAGTCAGACTGGCAATCATCAAGAAAACAAACAGCAATGAATGCTGGTGAGGATACAGGGAGGAAAGGAACCCGCACATACCGTTGGTAGAAATGTAAACTGGTGCAACCACATGGGAATCAGTATGGAGTCTCCTCAAACAGACCTACCTTATGACCCCATATTATACTTTGGTATATATCCAAATATATATCAACATATAAGAAAGAGAGATACCTGCACACTGATGTTTATTGCAGCTGTCTTCACAATAGCCAAGCTGTGGAATCAACAAGGTGCCCAACAATAAATGAGTGGATAAAACACACACACACACACACACACACACAAATATGTAAATATATATATATATACATAGAATATATATACATACACATAATATATGAACATACACATATGTATGTCATGGAATATTACTCAGCCATAAAGAAAAATTAAATTGTCATTTGCAGGAAAATACATGGAACTGGAGATTATCATATTGAGATAGGCCAAGTTCAAAAAGCCAAATATAGCATGTTCTCGCTCATTTGTGGAACCTAGTCCTAAAATGATAATAATAATGAGATATGAATGTGAAAGAGGAACAGTGTCAGGGGGAATCAGTAGGAGTGGGAAGGAGGGAGGGAAAGACACTAAGGGGAAAGAGCATGGAAGTACTATATATAAATATATATATATGCATAATGCACCCCATCAAATGCTGTTTGAAAATGGGGGGCAGGAGGAAAGGGGAATGAGAATGTAATGGAGGAGGTGAACTTGTTCAAAGTACACTGTATGCATGTATAGAATTACCACAATGACATCCTCTCATATTATTAATGTATGAGAATTCAAAAATATAATAAAACTATATTAAAAAGGAAAAAATAGGCCCAGATCCGCTTCCCTCTCCCCCATGGTCTGGAACAAAACCAACCAGATAAAATTGCTTGACTTGGGTGAGAGAAAAAGAGCTATACTTTTAAAATAGGAAACAATCTGCCTGAGGTATACACACAACACAATAACATCCAACCATAAAAAGAAACGAAGGACTGATATTCCATAGTTGATAGGTGTAGAAGTCCTACAACTTGAATGAATCTAAAAACATTAACCTAAGTGAAAGAAGCCAGACACAGGCCACCAATTACAAACTTTTATATGACATGTTCACAATAGGCAAATCCATAGAGACAGGAAGTAGATTCACGGTTGCCAGACAAGGGAGTGTAGGGGAAACAGGGAGTGATTATTTAATAGGTACAGAATTATTTTTATTTTTTCAGGGGTGATGAACAAGTTTTGGAACAAGACAGAAATGATGGTTGCACAACATTGTGAATACACTAAAAGCCACTGAATTGTAAAGTTTAAAATAGTTAATTGTATGTTATGTGAATGTCACCTCTTCTCAGAAAGAGAGAAGATAAGAAGGAAGAGAGAGAAGAAAGGAAGAAGGCAGAGAGGGAAGGAGGGAGTTGGGGGAAAGAAGCTATTTGCCCAAAGATTTATTGCAAGGATGTCATCATGGGGGTTCCCTGAAACAGGCTGGGACACTCCCAGTGTTTCTCAGTGGGCCCACATTTGGGGCAGGATAGGACAGTCTTTGCTGAATGACCACTTCACACCCATAGGAAGCAGTAACTGCCAACATCATCCCCTCTCATGGTGAAATTCCAAACACACCTACACATTCCCTACTACCCTAGGAGGCCCACTGACCTAACAGGGCATACCCCTCCAGGGCTGAGCAGTCAGTGGTCAAGGCGAGGACTCTGAGTCCAGAACATGCCCTTTGGATCTTGTCTCTCCCACCTACCTGCTGGTGATTTAGAGCAAGTTAATCAATATCTGTATGTCTGCATTTCTTCATCTGGAGGACTGAGAAAATAACAGTGCCAAATTCTTAGTGATGTTTTAAAAGCAAAATAGTTAATACACTGAAAAGAATGTCTCAAACAGAGTACATGCTCAATAAAATTTTAATTGACAAATGAGAATTATATATATTTATGGTATGCAAAAAGATGTTTGGATATATGTACATATTATGAAATGACTAAGTCAAGCTAATTAATGTATCAGTCCCGCACGCACGCCAGCACATTTAAAATCTACTCTTTGAGCAATTTTCAACTATACAACACATTGTTATTAACTCTAGTCACCATGTTGTTAGTAGATCTCCTGAACTTACTCTTTCTAGTTGAAATTTTATATTCTATGGCCAAGTACCCTCCCAATCCACCCACCACCATCCTCAATTGCTGGTGGCCATGATTCTGCCTCTGTTTCTATGAGGTTAACTTTTTTAGGCTCTATATATAAATGAATTCATGAGATATTAGTTTTTCTGTGCCTGGATTATTTCACTTAGCTTAATGTCCTCCAAGTTTATCGATGTTGTTACAAATAACAGAATTCCCTTCTTCTTAAAGACTATTTTCCCCTGTGTACTTATACCATATTTTCTTTATCCACTCATTCATTAATGGACTCTAAGATTGATGACACGTCTTTGCTATGGTAAACAGGGAAGAAAGGAAAGCTTTCTACATGTATAATTACAATACTTCTTTTAGTGTACAATTTTTTTCAGGTTGAGGACAATAATCTACAACAATGACAATACTCTTTAGCAAAGTCCCATGAAGAATACAGCACAAGACAGCACTCTTAATTGTCTTGATGCCTGGTCTGGGAGAAGAGGCTTTCTGAATATTTAAAGAGACTTTATCTAATTGTTCATATCAAAAACATACTTTGTTCTGTTTTTAATTCAACTATTGTCATGATTTTAGCTGGTGGATATACATAAGATAGCAACAGCTATCCCCAGTGATTCTCCCCACTCTATGCTGTGCTTCTTTACAGGACTGAAAGCCCTGCTAAAGGTCTCTCTGTTACCCAGTAGGAGACACAGAGTCTGAGAGACATCTAGGAAAAGGGCATCCTTTGCAGGTTTGTGAGTAATTAGCAAAAAAAAAAAAAAAAAAAAGTGCAAGAATCTCTCTGCCTCTCTCCTCTCCCATCCCCAGGGGGAGACAGTTGGTATGCTACCAGCCCACCACTCTCTCTCTATCCTTCAGTATATTTTCTCTAAGCATTGCATGCAAGAACATGGAAGGAAACTACACATACAAGATTGGTGGGACTAAATTTCTTATGAGTCCCTTCCAGCCCTGAGAGTTTCAATTTCATTCCTGCTCATTTATTCAGCAAGCCTCTCTGAGATCTGATTTGATGACAACCACCCAGCTGAATTTGGGGATACAGCATTTCTCAAGAAGTAACTTTCTAATTGAAGTCAAAGGTAAGGAGTTTCTACCTAAATATATAAAACTATGTTTTATTCAAACACACACACAACTTCTTGTCCTCACTCTGTAACACTTACAACCTATTATGGGTTCAATTGTGTCTCACTACCCCAAATTCATATATTGTGAAGTCCTAACCCTCAGTACCTCAAAACAGTACAGAATCTGGAGGAAGCATCTTTACAAAAGTAATCAATTTTAAATGAGGTCAGTAGGATGGGTCCTAACCCAACATGACTTGTGTCCTTATAAAAAGGGGAGATTTGAAAACAGGTACAGAAAAAAAAATGTGAAAATACAGGGAACAGATGGCCCAAAAGGCCTAAAATAGATCCTTCCCTATAGCCCAGTGAATGGAAGTGCAGGGTCTTGAGAAAGATGCCTGGTTTTCTAACCAGTCTAAGGCAAGAACCTCTTCTCCCAGCAGCTCTACTCACAGTCCTTTCCCTTGCTTGGCTCCCTGATCCCAGGCAGCCAGTTTTAGGACATGTCTCTCATTCTCCACCCACCCACCTCTTTCTTTGACTGAAAGATTCACTACCGGAAAAATTAACCCTATCCAAAACAAAACACTAATACTGACCTAACAAAAATTACTCGGTGCTCAAGGAAGTCTGTGGCCAGCAAACCCTTCCTGTTCGCAATCAGCCTTTTGCTCTTATTACTCATTTTGCTCATATTGTGTACAAACACCCAGGTTGAGTAGACATATAATGAAAGTCTCAAACAAAAGACAGAGGTGAAAAGTACAAATGGGGAAAAGGAACCAGAGACAAAGAGCAAATTAGAAAAGAAGACCTGAAAAAAAAAAACTACCATCAACTATTTTCAGAAATAAGCTATTTTATAACCAGAAAATAAAAACAGATGCTATAAAAGAGGAAACAAAGAACTTTTAGAAACTATAAATATGGAAGCAGATACTAAAAAAGAAAAAACTCTAGATGAGTTGGGAGGTAAAGTTGAGAAAATCTCTCAGGAAGTAGAGCAAAAAGACAAAGAGGTAGAAAAGAAGAAAGGATGGATAAAAAAATTAGAAACAAGACTATGAGTTCCAACATTTGAGCAAGGGGAGTTCTAGAAAAGAAATCAGTGCAGACAGCTCAAGAACCCAAGTTTCCATATTAAAAGGATACCCAACACAATGAAAGACATCCTATCCTGAAATTCCACAACACCAATGTGAAAAAAAAAAAAACTTTCAAAGCTTCCAGAAGGGAGGGAAGGAAAAAAGTCATATTTAGAGATATTACAGAAGGAGTCATATTTGTATATATTTGTATACAGCAGTATTGTTGGATATTAGAAAGCAATGACGTGATGCCTTTAAAATCCTAAGGGAAATTTTATTTCCAATCTAGAGGTCTATACCCACATAAATTTTCAGTCAATGAACAGTTGAAACATTTTCAGACATGAAACTTTAAGTCTCAAAAAGTTGATTCCCAGGAACCCTTTGTCAAGAAGTTATTAGATGAGAGCTTGTTCTGGTTATCTATGGCTATGTAAGAATATACCCAAAAACTTACCAGCTTAAACCAGAGTGTGGGAGTTTTTGTTTAATAGCTTGGTTTTGTTTTTATTTCATTTTGTTGACAGAGTCTCACTATGTAGTCTTGGCTCTCTGTGTTGTCTCATACTTGCTATGTAGCTTAGCTGGTCTCAAACTCATGATCCCAGCATTCAGGGATTATAGATATGTGCTACCATGCCTGGCTAATAATGTATTACTATTCTAATTCACTATTCTTTCTATGAGAAATTTAGACAGGAAACAAGTCAAGATGACTTGTCTCCACTTCCCAGTGTCTGGGGTCCCAGTTCAGAATAGCTGGGGGCTGGAGCAGTTGGGTATGTTAGCATCTTTTTACCTGTCTCAACATAGCCTCTCTAATGGACCTGCTTGGGCTTCCTCACAGCATGAAACAAAAAGTGAAAGGTACCAGGACTAAGCATGGAAACTGGCACACTGTCACTTCAGTCATATCCTGTTGGCCAAAACAGTCACAAAGCACCCAGATTCAAGAATAGGTAACACAAACCACACCTCCCAATGGAGTAGCAATGAAGAATTTGTTGCCATCTCTAATTCTCTACAGAGTGTAGCTAAGAAAGAGAAAGCCTAGGAGAACAGTGACTTGATGGCAGAGGAGATGCAGAGACAGCCAGCCCAGCAGAAGGCCATAGAAGGCCTCCAGGATGAATGTGTCCATGGAGGGCCAGACACAGTGGAACTGCTACTCACCTGACAGGTTTGGCCATACTGAGATGAGTGCAACTGTTCTGTGACAGATCTGTTCCAACTTGCATCTATCTAGTGCTAAGGTCAGTAAGTGGTGGGTATATAGGAAACTAAACAAATGAATAAAGGATATAATGGTTATCTCCAGAGAAATCAAAAGGTTATAACATAAAGGAAATTAAATATGATAGTTACGGGGTCTGAGTAGGAATATCAATTACAATATAGCTGTAACAATATAAGCACTGGATATGATTTATGGGAAAGTGGTACTACCACAAGAAATCTTAATTTTCTGTAACAGTAAGACTCTGTAATCAGAAAGGGGGGCGGACAAAGGTGTAGTGCAATGGTAGAACGTATGGTTAGTATGAATGAGATCCTGGGTTCAGTTCCCAGAACACACACTCACATGCACACATGCACACACACAAAACAGTGGTCATTGCCACAGTTATTTAGGAATATGGAGTTAAATAACAGAAAAATAAGACAAAAGCATTGAGAGGGTTGCCCGTGAGGAAAGGAAATGAAGGACAAAGAGGAGGGTGGCAGGTGGTGCTTCTCATTACAAACCTCACAGTAAAATTTTATTAAGTATGTTCACAAATTATATCAATGAAAAAGTGAAATTCTAAAAGAGTAAGCTGTAGAATAAGATACATAATAAGATCCTATGCATATAAGAAAATAATGTTCACATGCATATATGAACTCATAGAAAAACAGAAGTAAACAACCATGCTAATGTAATAGAAGTGGTTTGAGGGCCAAATGTCCATCAACCAATGAATACATAAGTAAAATGTGATATACACCTACAACAGAATATTACTTGGCCCTAAAAGGGGAAGATTTCTGATATATGCTACAATGTGGACAAACCTTGAAGACATTATGGAAAGTTAAATAAACCAGTCACAAAAAGACAATTCTGTATGATTCCTCTCACATGAGGTACCTAAAGTAGTCAAATTTAGAGGAAAAGAAAGTAGAATTCTGGTCGTGGGGTTCTGGGGGAGGAAGTAATGGGGACAGAGTTTCAGTCTGGAAAGATGAAAATGTCCTGGAGATGGATAGTGGCGATGGCTGACCAACAACATGAATGTCTTTAATGCCACTGACTGCAAATTTAAACATGGTTGAGATGGTAAATTTTATGTTCTGCGTATTTTACCACAATTTAAAAAAATGATTGTGGAAGGGGACATTGTAGGAAGCTTTCAAATTCTCCATATTATTGATTCTGCACAGTGAAAATGTGTTCATAGAACATTTGTGTGGATAACTAAGACTGAAGGGGAAAAAAACTAAACATGAAAAAAATGAGGAAGAAAAATTTGAACTACTTTAGAGAAAAGAAAAAAGAAGAGGAGAAGGAAGCATCTGGGAGCAGCAGAGGGGAGCCTTGAGGAAGGTCTTGGAGGGGGACCAAAACCATTTAAGTTGTTTGGCTGAGGGATGTATATTGCAACCATGGGTGAGCACATCCACTACCAGTAAGACCTCACAAGAGAGCCTTCATTTGTAAATAAACAAAGTCACTAATGTTTTGAAAGTTTATCTCATCTTCAATATTGTTTTTTCCATTCCCTGCAAACTCTGAGGAGCCTTAAAATAGGTCATTTTTCTGTTACTATAACAAAATAGCTAAAACTTGGTACTTTATAAAACTCACAGTTCTGGAGGTTCAAGGGCATGGTGCAGGCTTCTGCTCACCTCTAGCAAAAAAAAAAAATCTCACGGCAGATGGCATCACAAGAGTGAGAGAAGGAAACCACATGGAAAGGCAGGAAGCCAAAGAATGGGGAAAGTCCAGTCTGTGACCTCCCTCTAGACTTCAACTCTCAAAAGCCTCCCACCTCTTAATATCAACACTATAGGGGCTAAGCTTCCAACACATGAATCCTTTGGGGGATGTAAACTATATCCAAATCATAGTCACCCAGAATTTTCTTGTTTTTACAAAAAAAGACACATAGTATGCACAGTAGGGCAGGGATGGCCCTCAGCAACCCAGGGCATTCCCAGAATCTAGACTCTAATGGAGTGAAAAATGAGGACTGTGCCTGGCAAGTCTTCGAGAGAGAGGGAAGCCATTACTCAAGAAAGCAGCCCTGGGCTATGCCCACTTCCTGGGTCTGGAATGAACTTGTGTTCTGAGGAGGTCAACAGTCATAGGAAATTTCACAACTTCATTCCTTTTGGAAAGAAACTGTTTTATGGGCTCTTATGTCCTGAGAGTGACTGACACTATACAAACGTCCCACTATACTACCACAAACCTCACCACTCTCAATGCCTACTTTAACTTCAAAGGCCCGTTAGGAGTGGGGGTGGGGGTGGGGACTAGTCACAGGAGGCTTAATGCAGCCTTGGTGAATAGACAGTTTTATTTATTTATTTTATTATTTTATTTCTGGTCTTCTATGAAGCATTTTACATTAACAGAATGTTAAAACATCCAGAAATAAGATCACTGTTATCTAACCCAAATAAGATTAAATCTGACAGTACAATGTGAACTTTTAAATAATAACAGAATCTTTAACCATCTGGAAAAAAAGAATACAAAATGTTGTCTATGTTATTATAGCAACTCTGAAATTATGAAGTAAATAAACAAGAAATACAAGGAATGACAAAGGTGTTTTGTTAAGTAATGAAATTTCTGTCTTTTTCATGTGTGTGTGTGTGTGTGTGTGTGTGTGTGTATGATACCACAACCAGCATTTCCTGAATGCCTACCCAATAGTTTCTTATTTATGCTTCACAACAACTAAGTGGCACAAATATTATCCTCATTTTTTTAGGTTCTTTTTTCCTGCAATGTTAAGAATCGAACCCGGGGTTTCATACCTGCTAGAAAAGTGCTCTACCACTGAGCTACACTGTCAGTCATAAGCTCAGTAAGGAGAAAAGAAAACACCCAATGTGGGTCACTTCTTGTGGGTCACACAAGAAGTCAGCAGGCCACTGGTTCTGCAGTGCAGGTTTGTTTTTATCTCTGTCCTAAAGTAGTGGTGCAACTCACAAACAAGTGTCTTCTACTTGGCCCAAATTAGTGGTTTGGATCTTAGAAGTCTGTTCACATTTTAAACTGCATTTATCTACATTGAAAAGGCAAAGAGCCAACAGCCCAGAAATAAATTCAGAAGACTGAGTAATATAGGAGCAGATACATGTATAAAGGGCTTTTGCACTCTTAAGTCAGATCCCCAAAAAGAACTTTTTTTTTTCTGTTTTTGGCAGTACTGGGGCTTGAACTCAGGGCCTCATGGCCTCATGCTTGTTAGTCAAGTACTGAACCACTTGAACCATTCCACTAGCTCCCAAAAAACTTTTTTATGGGGGTGGGGTAACAGTAATAAATCCACTAAGCATGTTTTTGAAAATAACTGTTTTCCGAAACAAAACAAAATTAAGGAGAACATCATTGTTTGGCATTTTTATAAATTTCTTTAATGTCTGTCTTAAGAGAAGACAGGTGGATTCTCATATCTGCTTCTACATTTAATCTGTTAGAATGCTACACATCATGTAGTCTCTGGAATCTGCTACTGTACTTTCGTGAGAGAATGAGAGTCAAAAGTGCCAGTAACATCTTTTTATTTCTTAAAAAATAAATTTGAACTCACAGAGCCTCTTGAAATGGTCTTGGGTATCCACAAGGATCCCTCTACCACACTTTGAGAACCATGACTTAAAAAACTATTTGAGAGAGAACGGGGATAAAAAGTGAGGGAGACATTCAAGGACCTATCCTCCACCCTACACCTCTCACTTTTCAAGATCTCTAAACCCCTACCTTCCCACTAGGTAACCCCAGTGAAGGAACCCTAGGTTCTTCTCCAAGCACACCTTGACTTTGGCGACCCAGGGCCTCAGGCACTCCAGGCAAGTGCTCCACCATTTGAGTCATGTCCCAGCCCTTATGTTTTTGTATTTTGTTTTTGAGATAGGGTCTAACTTTGCCCCTGCTGGGCCTCAAAATCCCAATCCTCCTGCCTCGTCTCCCTACTGGGTTTCTCCACCCACTTCATTCTCCCTGCGCCCTCCCCTCCTCAGGTACTGAGGTTTGAACTCAGGGCCAAGAGCTTGCCAGGCAGGCACTCTACCACTTGAGCCTTGCCTCTAACCCCATACTGACATTTTTAATCTGGGCTTTCCTCTGCAGACTCCAAAGTAGCTCTAACTGGGTTTTTCTCACTGCCTGAAATGAGGTCTCAGAACACAGAAGAAAGGGCCCACAATGCGATGCAGTGCTGGGTGACTGAGCCATTTCTTCCACAGTACATTTGAGTTGCACCAACCCCTCTGTCTCAGGGCTGTGGTGGTATCAAATGACATCGTAGATCTGATCCCCTTCCCACCCCCAGCCCTATAACCAATGTGCCCCTGCTGCTGTTCAGCTGCCCACTTGGCACACCTGAACAAAGAGGACCCTGGGAGTCTGCCCCAGCCAGCGACACCGAGACACACTACAGCAGCATCCCATCTCTGGGATGCCCTTCTCCCCACCACAGGTTGGATGCCATTGGCTCAGAACTCAAGAAACTGGTTTAGAAGCAGGGGCAATCCTTGGAGCCTCGACTGTCTCAACTGAGCGTCTGCCAAGGCATTCGCTCTGAATCTTCCAGTAGAACTGAGCGCTGGAGGCGCGACGCACACACCTGGGGAGGAGAGCCCATCACCCGCAGAGATGAGGACTCGGCGTGCCATTAAGAAGCATCCCACACCACCGCCCTCGTCCTCGCGGAGGCTGCGGAGCTATACCCGCTGGAACGCTGGGACGCGACCCGGATCCCCGCAGGAGTGGCAGCCGCGGCTCAGCTCTGTACCTGTGCCTGAAGAGCGGGCAACTGCCCAGGAGCTCGCGCAGCTCATTCTTGAGGCTCCAGAACTCGCCGTCCAGGTAGCGATGCAGGGACGAATCCCCAAGTCCCAGGTCCGGCGCCAGCTCCATCGCGCGCCTGGCCGCTAGCTTTTTCCCTAGGCTTCCTCTCTTAGCTCCAAGCCTGAGGGGACTCAGAGCGCACGTCCTCTTTTATCTCCACTCCTCCCTCCTCATCTGCCTGTCCCCTCCCTCCCTTGAACGTACCCTTCTCTAAAGCTGCTCCCTGGACATGGTGCAAAGAGCTGTTCAGGGAGTCTGTGCTCCTCCAGTGTTCTCTCGCTGCATCTGAGTAATTCAAGGTACTTTTCCTATCAACGTCCTTAACTTAGTCACATCAGCAATGTCACTTTTGCCAGATAAGACAACATATTCTCAAGTTCTGAGGATTAGGATAGGAACGACTTTTGTGTGTTATTCTATCACACCATCTGGTGGGGTTGCAAATAACAACTCCAACCAAAGGCAATGAGTAAGACCCTTGTTTTCCCACAAAACAGGAAGCCCAGAGGTAGGAGAGTTCCCAAGGCTCAGTCGGTGGCCTAGGTTCTATCTTTCTACTCCGCCATCTCCATCTTTCTCTATGTTAACTTTATCTTTTTTTTCCACTTGTGTCTTCCTAGTCATAAGATGAATACTGCAGCCTAAAACACCACACTATGCCAAGCAGAGGGGAGCATTTCCTTCTATTTCAGTCAGAATAGGATTGTTGTGACAAACAATCCCAAGTGACTCCACATATGCTGGGTCATAAGCAGCCCTCAAATTTTAGAACTTACAAGGACAAGAGTTTATTTCTCATTCATGCTATCTGGAGATTCTGCTTATGTCTTCCTATTCCAGGTCCTGCCTAACAAAGCTGCCACCACTGTGTGGCCATAGGAGCTTTTATAATTTCCAGCTGGAACAGAAACAGGTCCACTAGACAGAGCAGTTCACTACTGACCGTGGAGGAGAGGAAGTACCATCATAGTCATGTCCAAAAGGTCAACACTCCAAACAATCTGTGAGCAGTGCTAGTGACTACTAAACCTGCCCTTCTGTCATCCTCTTCCTTTCACAGGCAAAATACACTCTCCTCTCCTCTAGGGAGGCAACCAAGGTCCCACACCACCATCACATCAAGTCCAAGATCTCTGGTGAGGTATGGTTGTCTTTGCATCAAGTCAGAATGTGGTTCCTCTTTACCCAGAGACCTACCAACTGTAAAGATAGGTGACTAAGTTACCTTCCAGTGCATGCAGCTTGAGTAAGGAAACTGTTGTTATAAGTCACTAAGATTTTTTTTTGAAAGTTCTTTTTACCTAGCCTATGGTAGAAGACACTGGAAAAATGTTGCTGCTGAAATAAATTTTAAAAAATCAAAGTATGGGCACTGACTTAGGGACAAAGAGGGGCAAGGAGGATGCTGTTGGCCAAAGCTGGGTGGAAGACAATTCAATTGTAGTGGCAGACATCTGAGGAAAAAAAAAAAAAACTGTTACTGACTGATAGCATGTCTAGTGGGCTCCAGGAGAAGATACTGAAAACACACTGGGAGCATTGAGTGTTGGGTGTCATTGCTTGTTTGTCAAGGCATTATAAGCAAGAAATGGGTTTAGAAAAGACAGATTAGGTTTGCAAACGGGCATGGAATGGAATAAAGAGCTCAGGGAACTTTGGGGTTGGAAGAGGCAAAGGCAACTGCATCTCAAGTTCTATTAGTAAAAGATAAACATGAAAAGTGTTTTTTTTAAACAATGAAGACCCATTATAACTCAAGACACTTAGTTTTATGCCCTTGTCTCTGTGGCAAGGGTAGAATCAAAAAAATCTAACTTGATCCCAATCTAATTTGGATTTTAGGGATCCCATTTCCCAGCAAGCCACCTCCTTACACCTGCGCCCTGATAATCTGAACACCCATACATCACTAGTCACTGCATCTCAGTGCAGTAGCATGAGTCACTTCCCCCACTGGCTGGTAAAGGACACCAGAAGTGACACACATAATCTAGCCTATCTCAGAAGATGCCAGAAGAATCTGTTCATATACCACACCTACCTCCAAAGACCAGAAAAATATAATTTTCCCAGGTGCTCAGAGCAGGAAGATCCAAAAATTCTTCCAGCCATCACTAAAGACTACCACACTGACTGAATCTTTTTACTAGCAAGGAAAAGTTGTCAAATAAATGACCCAGTAGAACTGCCTTTGGATCACCTTGGTTTAACTACGTCCCATGGCTATTGTATTGGTTTCCTGGGGCTGCCATCTAAATAACCACAAACTGAGTATGGTAAACAGCAGAAACTTATTCTCTCAGATATATGGAGGCAGAAGCTTGAAGTCAAAGTGTCAGCAGCTCCTTGTCCCTTTTGTAGGCTATAGGAAAAAATTCTTTCTTGCCTCTTTCTAGATTCTGGTGGTTTCCAGAAGTCTCTAACATGCCTTGTCTTGTAGCTGCATCATTCCAATTTCTGCCTCCACTATCACAAGATTTTCTTACCTAGTGTTTCTGTGTCTTCAAACTTCCCTCTCCTTAGAAGTACACCTTATTGGATTTATGGCTAACCATAATCCAATATGACCTCATCCCAACTAAAACCCTATTTCCAAATAAGGTCACAAACTTTTGAGGGAGGAGTAGGGAACGCTACTCAACCTATTACACCCACCCCAAATTAATCATTGCCAAATAAGAAATAAATGGAAGAAAGCAACCGTTATTGGCTTCAATCAAAGGTTACTGTTAACAATTAGAGTAACTGTGTGTTAGAGAAACCTAGGCTTTTTTCTTTTAATGCTCAGTGACACAAACATACCCCAAACAATAAGTAAGACCCAGACACTTCAATTTTTGAAAAGCTCCTCTTCACACCAGGTGATTCTACTGTGTAGCTAGGGGGTGAGACCATTGGCTTACACTCAATAGTTCTCACAGTGGTTCTGTATAGTGGATAGCTGCATTCTGGAACAAGTGGGGAAAATTAAGATGTCTTACATAACATATTTATGTTGGTTTCAAATTCTGATCATTGCACTGTGTATGTTTAAGTGAATGTTCTTGTTTTTAGGAGCAAGTTGGAGTGCTTACAAGTAAAGGGGCAACTTACTCCAAATAACTCAGAAAATTTGTATGTATGTAGATGAACATGCACTTGCATATGTGTTTGGAGGGAGGGGGGACAGAGAAGAGAAGAGAAGAGAATGTGGCTTCTCCAGACTATTAGGTTAGTGAGGATGTTCTCAGTTATAAAGTTCATAAAAAACAGTTTGAATTCTATTCTGCAAAAAGAAAATATATTGGTTTACAAAATTCAAGGAAGACTTGGACATCATAATTGGGGAAGTTCAATGGTGTGGTTAGGGACCAATGGGACCTGCTACCTCAGCTCTATCAGCAATGTCCTCCTCTAGCTCTCTGTCTCTGGATCACTCTCTTCTTCTCCCTTCCTCCCTCCACAGTGGCCCAGTTCTCAGGGCAGACCTAAGTCTATTGCCAGGGCAGAAAACACAGAGGCCAATGGTTCCCATGGGTCACATTCCTCAGCTTCAGCTACCAGAAAAGTATCTTAGATTTTCCCTCATTTCCAGTTGCAATAATTCTAGGAAAGTACTTTGATTGACTTAGCATGTCTCAGGTGCTTGCATCTGACCAACCATTGTGTGTGTGTTGGGTATGGGGGGGGGCATAGGAAACTGTGTGAGGACATGGAACTGCAGCTGTGCCAAAGTGAGTCTGGTAGCAGATGGCACCCACTCCACCACCCCACCCAATTACCTCCTGAGGATTGGTTTTGACAGCCACCTCTCCTGCCTCCTGAAAGCCTCCCCAGTCCTTTCCCATAATGGCTTTGCCCTGACAGGCAGCTTAGTAGGATCAGGACCCCATTCTCTAGAACCCTGAGAAGCCTCTAGGCCACCCACCCTACACAGTTATACCCAAAAAAGCATTCTGCTATGGATTTTTCTTCAAGGCCATCCACAGGATAGGAGAGATCAAAGGATGCTGGGTAGATGTGTCAGCTTCACCCAGGCTGGGCTTATAAATGCCTTCCTGACAAGATGCCAAAGGAAGACCTGGGGAGAAGGCTATTTTGAGAACCAGGGGAATGAAGGAAGCCAGAGGCCATGGCCTCTGAGAAGGATGAACTTGTCCACAGTAGACGGGGGATGGCATCCAGGTTTGTCCCTAGGGGCCACCCTATAGTCTAAGTCCTTAGTATAAGAAAGAGACCATAAAATTGCTTCTGCCTTCACTCTAGGCTGCACCTGGCTACTTGCCTCTCATAAGAGTGGTGGACCCCTCAGGAGGGGTACTGGCAGAGTGTTTCCAAATGTGGTAACTAACTGGATCCTGACATGGCCATATGCATTTGGAGGGTAGGTTTCCTTTAAATGGCTTTTATGAATAAATAACCAGCAATGTTAACTGATTTGCTCAAGGGCATGTGGCTCTTGATGGCCTCCTGAACACCCTGTCCAGGGCTCACACAACTGAGTCACACCCTATAACCACACTAAGATAGGACTGACCTGGGGCCTCAGCTAACTATACAAATGCTGCTTTTCTGGAGGCCTGGGGCATGAACATTACAATCCAGGGCTCCAGGTTCTATGGCAAGGCACAGCCTGTTCTCAGGGGCACTTCAGTGGATTTCGTAGAAATCATGGAACCATAAAATGTTAAAGCTGAGGGCACCCTGGTGCTTCTCCCATCAGTCCCCTCATTTCAGATAAGAATAGCACAGGGTGTGGCCTCTGTTGGCATAGTCTGGCCATTGTGCTAAAGTTGGAGGATGGAAAAATGGAGAAATTTGGGGCACTAATTTGTAGTGCCTCCCTTGCTTCCCAGTAACTCCTAGTCTGAGTACTTCGGGTGTTCCAGTAAAGGTGCATAGCTCATATCCTTATCTCAACTAGCAAAAACCCTTGGTCCTTCCTATTATTGCTTATACTCTCTCTTCAACAAAATTAGATATAAGGGCAAAATAGTTTCTGCCTGGTAGCGAGGGGGTGGGGGGGAAAGAGAGGGAGTGGGGGGAAGGCAGGGGGTTGGGGGAAGGGAGGAGAAATGACCCAAACATTGTATGCACATATGAATAAAAGAAATTTTTTAAAAAGGTGCATAGCTCAGATGTACCTGACCCTTGCCTAAATCTGCCTATGCAGAGCCATAGCCTCCTAATCCAATAAGGCCTTCCTTCTTACATCTCAAGTAACTCCGAATGGTTACCACCATGGATCATAAGCAGTTCTACTCTCCCCCCGCTGGACACTGTCTTACTCTGCATGCAGCCTGGGATGGGACAAAAAGCTGCTGTGTGGAGAAAAAAGACAGGAAAGACAGCTTTGATTCATTTCATCACTTGGAAACAGGGCTCATGAACAAAGTTTGCAATGGGAAAACTCTGGCAGCTTTTCCAAGTCCTTTCCTACCCCAAGTGCTAGACAAGTGTTCAGGGAGAAAGGGGGGTGGACAGATTCCTGAAACAGCCACTATGTATCCTCAAGAATGCCCTCCCTTTCAAATGATAACAGTTTTGTTACAGGATCTCTCCAGATATGCCAGCCTCCTTTTCTCCCCAGGATACAAATCTGCCCACAAGTGGAAGCCAATGAACTCACTCCTGCCTTCACGGGCCCACCAGGTGCAAGTGGCCTATGCTGGGAACATGGTTCATGCTCTGTGAAGCACCTGGAGAGAAGGGTCCCAGGTTGGAAACAATCAGACTATGAACTGTGATGTGCCTGTCTCTGGCTCCCAGAGCTAGTTTTTCAGGTCCCATCTGTGTCCTCCAAGGGCGAAATTCCTGGTACAGAGCAGAGCTTCCCAATGTGACATCCATGGACCAACTTGTTCCAGTCTCTTAAGGATTATCCTTGGATGTTGCCAGGCAGGGATCTATAGGATGTACTGTTGTTTAAAAACCAAAGAACAATGTGTAAATTTGCTAAGTTTTGTATAAGAAAGAGGAGATGTGTGTGTGTGTGTGTATTTACTTATACCTTCAAAAAGAAACAAGATAGATTGACCAGAAGCTAATTACTACTGATGTCTGTAGGAGAGAAGGATAGGGATAAAAGGCAAACCTCTCTAATAGACTGTTTTATAATTTTGACTTTGAACTAGGTAAATATTTTACAAAACTTTAAAAATTATAAGAGAAAAGAAAGCAGCTTCTATCAAAGATAAACAAATGTACTCAATTCTATTGCAAGATGGTGATATACCTCAAGCAGTAGAGCACCTGTCTGGCAAGGGTGAAGTCCTGAGTTCAAACCCCAGAACCTGAACCTCCCAAAGTAAAATATCACACAAACACACAAAATTGGAATGAGGTCACAAAATTCTTTAACCATGGGAAACATGAGGCATGAGACCACAGTCACCTAGATCATTCTGCCTAGCACAGCAATAAGATAAGAAAGATAAGAAATAACCTCAAAAAAAAAAAAAAAACTTTTTCCTTTTCCTGCTTATTGCAATTCTTACCCGGAATGTAAAAAGTAAGTGACTGAGTGCCAATCAACATCCCGTGTCATTCTTGTCAACCAATGCAATTTTCTACAGCCTTTTTCTTTGTTCTTTTTCATCTGTAAAAAACCAGACCCCAGTGGCACCATTTGGAGGAGTACTAATTCTAGATGGCTAGAATTTTTCCCCCTGGATGGTCAACTCCACATTGGCTCAAATAAATTATTCTCATACTCAGTGTACCTCAACCTGCCTTTAACGTTAAAGGTTAAAGCTCATCATATATGTAAAAATCCAAAAACAAATCCATATTGGTCACTATGCAGTTTGCTAGGGTGCTAACTCATTATTTTTTTAAGTCGATAAACCAGGACAAAAATTGAGTACAGTAAACCCTAAGCATCACAAGTTTCCCATCTACAAATTCAACCAAGATCAAGAATATTATGAACAAAAATCTTGCCTGCACTGCACATGTGCAGACCTTTTTTCTTGTCACTGTTCTCTAAATAATAAAGTATAACAACTATTTACACAGAATTTATATTTTATTAGGCATTATAAGTAATCTAGACATGATTTAGAGCATATAAGAATATTAAGAGGACATGTACACATTATATACAAATATTATGCATTTTATATATGAGGCTTGAGTATCCACTTCCTTATGTATCTATGGGGAATCTCAGAACCAATCCCTCAAAAATACCAGGGTTGACTGCATTCATTCTTCCTGTCCTTAGGAAATCAACAATTTTGATGAAGGAAAGTTCTTAGTTATAACTTCAGTGAATAAATGTAAATGAATGATAGATTAGAAATCATAAGTCTGACAAACCCCAATGAGAGGATGGAGTCAGGTTAGGTGGTAGTCAGCAACTACTAACACTAGTCAGCAAAAGGACCTGATAATGGGCAGACTGGGTTGAAAACACCCAAACCCACTAACCATTCTTAATGAAATAAAGAGAGTCGGCCATATATCCTGGTTCCTGATAGAATGCAATGGAAAGCACATGGCTCCACTAAGTTTCCTGAGAAAAAAATTGAATATGAGTTTAATCAAGCCTCTAGGTAGGCAACTACTGTATTAAAAATCACAAGAAAACATGTTAAGAAACCCCATGAATATAAAATTAACCAAAATCTCAAAACATAGAGGACTACTTAGAACAAATGGTCAAGTATTTTCAACAATAAAAAGATGGAATGTAAGAAAAAGGAGGGAGAACTTTTACTATGAAAACGAAAATAAGATAGTTCAAAAGGCCCATTAAACCAGTGTGTGAACCTGTCTGAATTACATAAAAAAATTCAAATTTACCAACCAAAATTTTGAAATAACTGAGGAACATTGCACATGAACCAGGTATTAGAAGACACTAAGAGATTGTTGTCAACCTTTTTAGTATAGAAATGCTACTACATTATTTTTTCTTTTAGTTTTTTTTTTTTTCTGTCAGAGATGCATGCATAAGTGTTTCATGGAATATAATAGAATGTCTGGGACTTGCTTCAAAATGCCTCACTGAAAAAACTAATAAAACAAGTGGGAAGGCAGTGATGAATTAAGAGCACCAAAATGTTGACATTTTGAAAGGGGTAATGGCTGTTAATTATACTGACCTCTCTATTTCTGTGTATGTTTGAATGTTTCTATAATACTTATATTTATTTTTTAAATGTCACTTTCCAGCCTTCATCCCAATATTCTCATCAAAATTCCTGAGGACTAAGGTCTAGGCATCTGTTTTTAACAAGCATCTCCAAATGGTTTTTGCATCTGTAATTGGAGTCACTAGTCTAAAGCACAGGTCCTCATACCACAATTCAGCCCACTACTTATTTTTATAAATAAAGTTGTATTGGCACACAGCCATGCTTATTCATTTGCTTATTGTCCATGGTAGTTTTTATGCTATAATGGTTGAGTTGAGTACTTACAACAAAACCATATGGCCTGCAAAATAGTTACTATCTGGACTTAAAAAAAAAAAACTTGTCAATTGTTGGTTTAAAGGATACTTTCTTCTTACAGGAGTACTTTCCCTTGCTCTAGCCTCTCTGGTTTCAGGTTTAACTCTATTTCTGGGATATCTTAAGTCCTATATGGAGTGGAAGTCACTTGGAATATGTGTATTTGTACCGCTAATCTCAATTTGGGGACAGTAAGACTTGAAAGTTAAGTTGAATTTAACCAAGCAGGGGAAGTTTATCCAGGTATATTTGACCAGGGCCACTAATGAAGGGGTGATAAAGATATCAGATGGGGTGGCAGCTATCTGAAAGACAGGGGCAAAGGACCAGCTTCTCATGTGGCTTGCTAAGTGGCTGGCAAGTCAGTCCTGGCTGTTGGCTGGAAGCCTCAGTTCCTCATCACAGGATCTGCTCCCTAGGACTGCTTGAATGTCCTCATGACATAGCAGATGGCTTCCCCCAGAGTGAGTGTTCCAAGACAGGCATGGCAGAATTCTCAATGTCTAAACATGACATGAATTTTTGCTTCCTCAGGATTCTGTTGGTGATAAGCCAGACATGATTTAGCATGGGAAGGGACTACACCTACACATGGGCATGAAAGCCAGAAGACAGGGATAGCCAAGAGTCACAGTAGAAGCTGGTTACCAATACAGACATCTAGGGGAGGAGAGAGAACCGGTGATGGCCCATAAGCACAATGCTTTCTGGGTGGGAGAAGAGGGAACATTACCATTCCCAGGCCTTTTGGAAAGAGGGAAGGTGAAGCTGTGTTGCTGTGGTTTAGGGTATACAGTATGTCTATAAGCTCCCTTAGTAGGAAGAGAGATGTACCAGGCTTAAGCTGGAGAGCCTAATAAAGGGCAAAACTGAGCTTCAGAATGAGCCTAAGACTATGAGCTTCCCTCTGCCAACACAGTCCTGAATCCACTCAACCACAGGAGGTTCATTGGGAGCTTGGGCTCTTTGTCACCTTCCCACTAACTTAGGGATCTCCACCCTAAGAAGGTGGTAGAAAACTCAGCTTTGCTACAAGGGGAAACAGGAAATATGCAATCTTCTGGTAATGAACAACTGGAGTCAGTTATTTGATGCCTGAAAAATTCATTTGCAGGTACATACATTACTTCATTTCTCAGTTTTCTTCATTTTGAAGGATGTTAGTGTTAGTTACATTTATATACTCCTCCCTTAATACACACAGATGACAGTGCACAACTGTGAACTCCACTCAAGTAGGTATTAAATATCCCATTTTTTTTATGTTAACATCTTGTAAAGAAAGAATGCAGGAGGTCTGTTTTTCTCTATTCTAGCTTATTTCTGAGCCAAAAGCTAAGAGCTGAACTTTGCAACGGCCACAAATTATGTCATTCTGTGTGCACTGAGCATTGGGGAAGGATACACTAAACTATCAGCATCGTTTAAAGTAAGTATGAACCTTTCTGTTGAACACCTACTGCCTGGTTTGAGGTCCACAACATGACTAGTCACATAGTAGATATGCATCATGGATATGCTTAGGTGATCATCTCTCTTTAAGAACTCTAAATTCTAAGACTCAAGTGAGCTTCACTGGGTAGAGACAGCTCACATGTGTCTGCTGTTCAAAGCTGAAAAGGAAAATGTGTCTGTGTAACCCATGCAAAGAAATGAAAGCCTGTGCCTGAGCTCTCTGGCCTTTACCTGGGTACAACATTATCTACCTTTCTGGCACTGTATCCTCTGTAATAAACCTTTGCTGTAGGTAGAATATGATTCTGAGTTATGTGAGTTCTTCCAATGATTTACTAACCCAACATGGAAACTCCAGAACACATCTAATTTTAAAGATAAAAATTTGAAATACTTGGAGCTGAGCTCAATCCTAGATATAAGCCATTGAATAGCAATCTCAAATATCTCATCAGAACTTTGCTAATTTAACTAAATAATCCTAGAAAATTTTAACCCCCAAAGTCTATTAATTCCCTTACCACTTCTGTCCCTCTTAATAATCACTTATATTAATCATTGATTATTTTAGAGACATTCAAAAAAGATAAACAATCTAATTCTATCCCTCTCATAGTAATAAAATAAGAGGAGACAGAGACATGGAAGAGAAAATTTTGCATACTATTGAGAATAAATTGGTATTAATTTGAACTAAATTGCTATAAGTTGTGTTAATTGGTTGGGCATGGTGGCACATACCTTTAGTCCAAAAGCCTTGGGAGGCTGAGATGGCAGGATCTTTTTAGCTCAGAAGTTTGAAACCAGCCTGGTCAGCACAGCAAGACTCTATGTCAAATAAAACCCAATTTAATTAATTCAAAAATAAAAATTATGCTAATTGTAAATCCCATGACAAACACTAAAAAAAAAACCCTAAAGATATATAGTAGAATAAATGAGAAAGGAATCAAAACGATATAGTAGAAAACATTCAACACAAAATAAGGAAAGGAAGAAATGATGAACAAAACATTGGAAAAATATAAAAGTTATTATCACTAGTTGCAGTAAGTATGTACAGTAAACTCTCCAATTAAAAGGCAAGTATTGGCAGAATGAGTAAATATCCCGCAATTATATAGTCTCTATAAGAAACTCACTTTAGGTTCAATGTCATAAATAGGTTGAAAGTAAAAGGATGGGAAAAGATATTCCATGAAACATTAACCTAAATAGAACTTCAGTGGCTATCAATATCAGGCAAAATAGACCTTAAGACAAAAACTGTTACAACAGACAAAAATGGCATTATACAATAATAAAAGGGTCAACCTATTAAGAATATATTGCAGTTATTAACAGGTATGCACCTAATAAGAAAGTCCCAAAAGATATGAAGCAAAAACTGACAGAACTGAAGAGAGAAACAGATAGCTCAAAAATAATAGTTGAAAATTAGACACCCCATTTTCAATAATTAATAAAACAAGGCAGGACATGGTGGCATGTGCCTGTAATCTCAGCTATTGCTTCATAGCATAATTCAAACATTTAAAGAGAAATTAGTACCAATCCTCAAACTCTCCCAAAACTTACAAGAAAGTTATGGTTTGGATATGAAGTGCCCCAAAGACTCATGTGTTGAAGGCTTACTTCCCCAATGTAGCAATGTTCACAAGTGGAGCTTTCAGAAGTGGTTGGATCATGAGGGCTCTGATTTCATAAATCAATTGATGGGTTTCTAATTTGATGGGCTATTGGAAAGTGATGGAAACCTAATAATGGTACTTAGTTGAAAGAAGTAGGTCCTTGGGGGATGCCTTGTTGGACTATGTCTTGTTCCTGGCCCCTTTCTCTATGCTTCCTGATCTCTATGAAAGGAACAGCTTTCCAACATCTGGAGCATGTGGTATCATCATGTGAGCACCATCAGGCTTGGGCATCCCTACCACTATGGCCTTGCCATGCAATCCTCTCTCTCTCTATCTTGAGATGACCAGAAGATAGTCCATGTTCCTTGCATTTTCAACAGCCCGGGGTCTCCTTTGCATCTTAGGCTTCACCCATTTCCCACTCAGGGGTACCTGCAGGGATCCTGACCCTGTTAATGCTGTCTGAACTCCCAAGCCTTCCTTTGAAATCTGGATGGAAGCCCCAAGACCCTGGGAGCTCTCACATTATGCATACCTGTAACAATCACATGGACAATGCCAAGGTCTGCTGCCAGCTCAAGCAGTAAGTGGACCTCCTTGAACTATAGCTATAGTGGCAGCTGAACCTAGGAGAACACTTCCCTAGGTGATCCTGCAGGGTGCCCTAGAAGTAACTTCTCAAAGCAATGTCTTTTAAATGAATTAAAACCTTTATACCCTTGGTCTACAATGTGTATGGTCTAGCCAACTCTAGAGATGCCCTTAAGGCATTGTTCCTATCGTACCAGTGCAAAGTACCTGATTTCTTTATAATGGCACTAATCACTTTAACAGTCATGCCCTCCTTATCTGCAACTTTAGATGCCTCCTGTTTTAGCTAAGTTTCATGTTTTTCAAATCTTGTTTGCTTTTTACTACAGATTCTCTGTAAACCTGGTTAAAAGCAGCCAGCAATAGCCATGCCACAGCATGAATGCTATACTATCTTAAAATTTCCTCTGCCAAATTAATTAGTCCATTTCTTTTAAATTCAGCCTCACTCAAAGTCTAAGGACTTGGACAAAATGTAGACAAATTCTTTGCCAGAATGTAACAAATAGCCTTTTGTCTAATTCCCAACAGAGTTCTCATTTCTGCTTGAAACCTTTACTATCTGGATTTCTATTAGCATTCTGGTTTTCTGAGCTCCTACCATAATCACCCTTTAATTCTGTCTACAGCATTCTGGAGCTTCTCTAGCCTGACTCTCCAAACTTCCCCAAATTCCCCCCACAAAACAGTTCAAAAGAACCATATGGTGAGGTAAAGTCAAAGCAACTTCTCTGGTATCAATTTTCTGCATTAGTTAATTTTGCATCACTGTGACAAAATATCTGACATAAACAACTTAAAAGGAGGAAGGATTTATTTTGCTCATGGTTTCAGAGTGTTTGGTTCATGGTTTCTTAGCCCATGAGTGTGGGAAGAACATCATGGTGGTGGAAGCATGAGACAGATTCATGGCAGACAGGAAGCAGAGCAAGGTAGGAACTGGGAACCAGGCATAACCTTCAAAATCACACTTCCAGTGACCTATTTCCTCAAGCTAAATATTCCCTACATCCTAAAGCTTCTACCAACTCCCAAAATAGCACCACCAGCTGAGGACCAAGTATCCAATATATGACCCTATAAGGGATATTTCCTTTTCGAACGATGACAAATCCTGACCCTAAGTCAGGATTGTCCTTCAAGTTAATTTTTTCTCAGGTATTTTTGAGACAGAATCAAGGTAGCTTTTGAGACAGAATCTAGGGCACTGGGAGTTAGGCATTATTAGAACATTCTTAAATACGACTAAAGCACTGTTAATATTAATTGTAAGTCTTAATTACAAGCACCCATTTTACTTTTTATTTTTCCTTTAAATAAGCTAAGATGTTGGGTGATATAGTAATTTGACTTTCTAACTGACAGCTGTCAGACCACCCCCTGATGCCCCAGCTCCCTTGACTGAAGGACCATCAGCCAAGCAACCAACTGGACTGACCTCATTCAGCACCAGCTGCTTTGAATACTCCATAGATGCCTTGAGAAAACTACACAGAAACCACAACTGCTTGCTGCAGAAGCACAACTCAATTTCAACAGCTTACACTGAACTTTTTACCATCACAAGCCTCAGTGAACTGTAGATGACCCTGAAACCATTGCCACCCAGGACAGAAAGGGAAGCACTTCCCCTGGTAGCCCAACAGAAGGCCTGTGACTGATGTAAACACAGTCCCTGGGCTAGTGAAGTGGCTCAAGCACTAAAGCGCCTGCCAGGTGAACTTGAGGCCCTGAGTTCAAACCCCAGTACCACCAAAAAGAAAAAAAAAGCCCACAATCCATCATTTGCTTAAGAGACTGCTAAGTTTAGTGCAGACACCCTTGCCACATCCCCTTTGTGGCTATATAAGCAGGCTGTTTGGCTTACTTTGTGAGTCAGCTAGCAGACACCCTCTTGTGCTGCCTCCTGGTGTTACCACATTAGGCCCAATAAAACCTTCTCTCCAGTGAACTTTTCTTGCCTACTTTTGATTTTCATCAATTAGTAGAGTGGCTGAGCTGATAACATGAGGAAAGGAGAAGACACAGCAGAGAGGTGTCAGCAGTAGCAGGCAGTAGCCATGGTAATGGCAGAGATAATAGAGTTGGTCGTGGCATCAGCAGAGCCAGCACCATGGCCAAGAGTGTCATTGTCTCAGCAGTTGCAGCCACTGTGGTAGTGGCAGTGACAGTGGAGCCAAAAGCAGCAGAATCAGCAGCAGAGCCATTTGCAGGTGGCCAAGGCAACCCTCACCCTGGTGGCAACAGAAGCGGCAGTAGCAGCAGAGCGATGGTGGCAGTACTGATGGTAGCAGCCATGGTAAAAGAAAGGCAGTGGCAGAGCCAGAAGCTGTGGCAGAGGCAGCCACCACCCCAGCAGCAACAGCAGTAACAACCAGCAGTGGTGACAGTAGCCAGAGTAAAAGCAATAGGAAACAGAAGTGACAGAGGCAATGAAGGATAATGGAAGTAGAGAGAAAGCAAGAGGGTATAGAGCTGAGGCTGGAAAAAGTCAGAGGCCATAAAGAGCCAGAGGATAAAAAAAAAAACTGCAAGTTGGTCCAGAAGACTACCAGAGAGCTCTAACACTCCTCTGTCAAGGGCTGAGGATCCCAACATGCAAGGTTCAAGAGCTGTAACACGAAAGTGTTTGATGTCCACTGCAGATGATAAGGATATACAATATGACCAAATGAGACTTATCCCATGAATATAAGGGTTGAGTAAATAAGCATAAGAAAATCAATTAATATAATACATAATTTTAATGGAATGCAGAATAAAACATATGATCATCTCAATTATTACAGAAAAAGAATTTGACAAAATCTATTACCCTTTCATGATTAAAACCAAAACAAAATACTTAGAATAGTAAGTTATGGAACTTTTTAACTTGATAAAGACTAACCATAAAAAATAGCATCATTCTTTTTTTTATTGTTTATTATTCATATGTGCATACAATGCTTGGGTCATTTCTCCCCCCCTCCCTTACCACCCACTCCACCACCCCCTCCCTCTCCCCCCCACCCCCTCAATACCCGGCAGAAACTATTTTGCCCTTATCTCTAATTTTGTTGAAGAGAGAGTATAAGCAATAATAGGAAGGAACAAGGGTTTTTGCTAGTTGAGATAAGGATAGCAATACAGGGAGTTGACTCACATTAATTTCCTGTGTATGTGTGTTACCTTCTAGGTTAATTCTTCTTGATCTAACCTTTTCTCTAGTTTCTGGTCCTCTTTTCCTATTGGCCTCAGTTGCTTTTAAGGTATCTGCTTTAGTTTCTCTGCATTAAGGGCAACAAATGCTAGCTAATTTTTTAGGTGTCTTACCCATCCTCACACCTCCCTTGTGTGCTCTCGCTTTTATCATGTGCTCAAAGTCCAATCCCCTTGTTGTGTTTGCCCTTGATCTAATGTCCGCATATGAGGGAGAACATACGATTTTTGGTCTTTTGGGCCAGGCTTACCTCACTCAGAATGATGTTCTCCAATTCCATCCATTTACCAGCGAATGATAACATTTCATTCTTCTTCATGGCCGCATAAAATTCCATTGTGTATAGATACCACATTTTCTTGATCCATTTGTCAGTAGTGGGGCATCTTGGCTGTTTCCATAACTTGGCTATTGTGAATAGCGCCGCAATAAACATGGGTGTGCAGGTGCCTCTGCAGTAACCTGTGTCACAGTCTTTTGGGTATATGCCCAAGAATGGTATTGCTGGATCAAATGGTAGATCAATGTTTAGCTTTTTAAGTAGCCTCCAAATTTTTTCCAGAGTGGTAGTACTAGTTTACATTCCACCAACAGTGTAAGAGGGTTCCTTTTTCCCCCACATCCTCGCCAACATGCTATTCTAACAGGGGTGAGGTGGAATCTTAATGTGGTTTTAATTTGCATTTCCTTTATTGCTGGAGATAGTGGGCATTTTTTCATGTGTTTTTTGGCCATTTGAATTTCTTCTTTTGAGAAAGTTCTGTTTAGTTCACTTGCCCATTTCTTTATGGGTTCATTAGTTTTGGGAGAATTTAGTTTTTTAAGTTCCCTATATATTCTGGTTATCAATCCTTTGTCTGATGTGTAGCTGGCAAATATTTTCTCCCACTCTGTGGGTGTTCTCTTCAGTTTAGAGACCATTTCTTTTGATGAACAGAAGCTTTTTAGTTTTATGAAGTCCCATTTATCTATGCTGTCTCTTAGTTGCTGTGCAGTTAGAATCATTCTTAATGGCAGAAGACTGAAAGATCCCTCTAAAATTAGCAACAAGACAAGAATGCTCTCATTGCTGATACTTAGCATTGTATTGGAACTTATATTCAGGTCAATTAGGAAAGAAAAAGAAGTGAAAGGCATCCAACTTCTACAAAACTATTAAGAGCTACTAAATTCAGCAAAGTTTCAGGTTATAAGATCAGTATATAAAAAATCACTTGTATTTCTGTATACTAGTGATGACCAATCCAAAAATGAAGTTAAGATTACAATTCCACTTTCAATAGCATCAAAAGAATAAGATACTTAGGAATAAACTTAGCCAAGAAGCAAGACTTGTAAACTAAAAACTACAAAATATTACAAAAATTAAAGAAAAGCTAATTAAACAAGCAGCCTACACTGTTGGTTATAAGACTTAAATTCTCAAGACAATATTCTGCAAATCAACATATACACTCAACACAATTGCCATCATAATTATGACAACTTTGGGGAGCAGAAATGGACAAACTGATCCAAAATTTATAAAGAATTGAAAGGAAACTAGAATAGCCAAAAATCTTTAAAAAAAACAAAGTTGGAGGACTCAGACTTCCTGATTTCAAAACTTAATGTAATGCTATAGTAATCAAAATAGTGTAGTACTAGCATAAAGATAGACACATTGATCAATGCGATGGATTAAGAGCTAAGAAATAAACCCACATATTTATGGTTAATTGACTTTCAACAAGGGAAATTGAATGGGGAAGGATTAGTCTTTCAACAAATAGGGCTGAGACAAATGGATAAACACATACCTAAGAATGAAGCTGGACTTCAATTCATATACAAAAATTAACTCAACATTGATTAAAGGCCTAAACCATCAATCCAGAAGGAGTTGACTGCAATATGGTTCACAGAGGCTTGAGTGAAACTCCACTGGGAGTCTGGCAGTATGGTGAAGCAGGAAGGAAAACCTGGGACCCAACACTAAATCCAATCCTAGAAAATAACCCCACTTCTGGAACTGATCTCAGAAGCTTAGACTAATAGTTAACACATTTGTCCAAACTTGACAGCAATCAACAAACAAGTCATCAGAAACATAGAACTAGAGGAGTGGAGTGAAATGATGGAGTGCCAACCAGCAAAAACCCTTGTTCCTTCCTGTTACGGCTTATACTCTCTCTACAACAAAATTAGAGATAAGGGCAAAATAGTTTCTGCTGGGTATCGAGGGGGTGGGGGAAGAGGGAGGGGGCAGGGTGGGTGGTAAGGGAGGGGGTGGGGGCAGGGGGGAGAAATGACCCAAGCCTTGTATGCACATATGAATAATAAAACAATAAATAAAAAAGAAATGATGGAGTGCAATGTGTCCCCCGCCCCGATAAATAAATAAATAAATGCATCAAGGCCCAGGGTGGGAAATCCAGGGAAGGATCCCAGAAAGTGTATCAGCTACAAGTTCTGTCTGCAGGGACCAGAGCCCTGGTCAGGGATGAGGGATTCTGGCTTCAGTAAGGCAGGTTTCTAAGAGCAAGAAATGGTTCCATGCTTCAGAAAATAGTCAAGAACCAGAAAGGATGCTGTACAAAAATATCAAATGAAGACCAAAGCAGCAGTCCAGTTCTAAATTTGGTACCATTGGGAGAAGAGTAACTCAACTCTGAATATAACACAAGTGAATCCAACTCAGGTAAGCAACAAGTATAATTAACTTGAGAGCAGAAACTCTTGGGAAGTTGTGTGCTGAGATTCAGGGCACTTTAAAATTACAAACTTTTCCATATCCACTGTATATCTTCTTTTCTATTCAATGGGATATTTACCTTTTAGAATGATATTTAATATTTTTAAACTATGAAAGTATAGTCATTTTCAATCTAGATTCTGCACGAGAGAAAACATGCAGTATTTGTCTTTCTGAATCTGGCTTATTTCACTTAACATCATGATCTCTAGTTCCATCAATTTTCCTGCAAGTAACAACTTTATTACTGAATAAGGCTCTATGGTGTATATATGCAACATTTCATTTATCCATTCATCCACTGATGGATACCTAGACTGATTCCAAAACTTGGCTATCATGGATACTGCTGCTACAAACATGAATGTTTGGGAATCTATTGTAAGCTGACTTTAATTGCTTTGGGTATATACAAAAGTGGTATAGTCGGATCACATGGTAGTTCTATTTTTAATTTTTGAGGAACTTCCATACTGACTTTCATAGTGACTAGTCCAATTTACATTCCCAGCAATAGTGTGTAAGGGTTCTTTTTTTCCCACAGCCTCACATCCCCTCTCTGGTCAGTGTACCACTAAGCTGTGAGCCCCACTCTGATGATGACATCTGTTGGTGGATGGTCTTCTTGACTTGCTCCCCAAATGCTTTTGTTCAGTTCAGGTCTTGCTCCATTGCTGGTTCCTGGTTTCATCCCCTGTCCTGCACAACAAAATTTTTGCACCTCATTCCATAAAACCTCAGCTACTTGGCAAGCTCTTTGACTTGGATCCTCTTTTCCAGTTTTGCCTGCACCAAGTACTTCCTGAATTGAGTAAAAATACAGATGTGGAGATATCAGTGGATCAAGGCAGAGGATAGGAAGAATCTCTTCCACAACCCAGTCACTCTTCTGGCTTAGGGATTCCCAGTCACAATTGGGAAGAGGGAAACATTGAAGAGAGGCAAAATCTCTAAAACTGTAATCGGGGTTGAACTAGAGAAGTACTCTACTGTGATGATTTTTTATGGAATATACAGACTGCCTTATAAACTTACAAACAGGTAAACATAAAAGACACAGTGAGTGAGTTCTGATATCAAATCTCCAATTCTTCCTAAGGAAGTGATGATGATGCTCAGGTAGTGAGGCTAAAGATACAGTTTAGGTAGAATTATTTTGTGTGTTTCCTGCAACCAAGCTTCTACCTGGATCTCTTATTTGGGAACTTTGTTGCTGCATTCTTCTCCACCTTACCCCCACTTCTTTTCCTCTTCTTCCTTCTTCTTTTTAATGATGCATTTACTCAAAAAGTTCAGTAACTATTTGAAGTTTTCTACTCTGCCTCCCTTTTTTGTACTTCTTTTTTTATCCACCTCTTTTTTCAAGTAAACCAACTAAAGTTAAAAATAATAATAATAACCCTTTCTTATCTGTCTCTTTTTTATATGGCCACATGGAAGCATGAATTTTTCATCTTTATTGGGATTCCACTTCCAAATCACTGCTATAGACCAGAGTCAACTCTTATAATGTGTATTAAGCATTCCCTGGTAAGACTGTTTCACAACCTACTCTGCTGTTCCCAATGTTTGAGCAACTATGTCAGCTCCATGTTGGACCAACTGCACAGCAGGAGCTGAATATCCTGTACATGTACCTCATCTACCACTGTGCTTCATTCCATGTTTTTGTTTTCTGCTAATATTGACATTACTTTCTAAAATAATTATAACAATTGTCAATTCCACCAGCAATATTTGAGAGAGGACCATTTTCCTCATAGGAGACTAGGACCCTAGTTTTGAAGCATTTCAGGCTGATGGACCCAGACAAAAATGGACTCAATCAAAATGTTCAGTTGATTAGGACTTCACAGAAAACCCTAAGGAGCATTCAGAATGGTATTTGAACTATCACATACCAAAGTTACCTTGGGAATAAGACATTATTTACCAAAACTCATCCCTTTATCCCTTTGATTTATAAGGCAATAACATTATATTCATTCCATTCTCATAGACATCTGACTAATTTCATTATAGACTTGAAAGTTTAAACAAAGTTCTAGTTATCAGCAGTTTCAAAAACTCCATCATGATTATTGTTATTTTGAAAGGGAGCCCTCCTCTTCCACTAATCTCTATGCCAGGACTAGAGGTTTGGCTCAAGCAGTAAGAGTGACTGCTTTGCAAGTCTGAAGCCCTGAATCCAAACCTCAGTCCTGCAAAAAAAAAAGAAAAAAGAAAAAGAAACTAAGGATGAAAAATTCAAGGAAAATAAAATTAGTACAAGAACTATTCATGTAATAATATTAAAAACAATAGTTAATATTGCAGAGTTGTATTAAACTGTACAAATTGCCATAGCTGAGGTGTGGGGGGTACCCATTGATTGATGCAGATACAAAACAAAGTCAGAAGTAGGATCTGAAACTCTCATTAATGTCTATCAGTCAAAGACAACTAGGAACAAAGTTAGGTTTATTGGTTCATTGCCACAAGGGAGACAGCATACTTTGGGGAACACGTCTATTTCAGAAAGTATTAAAAGGACTTACAGGATTTGGGCTGCTTTAGGTGATTATGTGG